TTTTGACACCAATGTGATTGGCAAGATTCAGGAAAAGCATGATAAATATGCGGACCTCGCCTTTGAAACGTCTCGCTTGCATCCCAAGTACACAGTCGTCAGGCTCCCCATTGTTCTCGGTGCCCTAGGTTTGGTACCTCCCGATCTCTTGGCGCAGATCAGGAGAGTGCCCGGATTCTCCACCGGGAGTACAGCCCTTCTAACACTCTGGGTAATGCAGAAGGCTGCAGTGTTGGGGAGCCTTCATATTCTCCGGAAAGTTCTTGGTGGGTTCGACTAGGCAGCATTTCCTGGGAGAAGTCCCATTCGCTGTCTGGGCTGCGTGTAGAGGGGGCGAGGGCCCTGAGATGATGATGTGCCTTACCAGCCTGACTGTGCCAGGATCATCCGAACCCTCTCTGCTGCATTTTCATCTTTAATCTGTAAAACATTATGCATTTCTATAGCACCTGATATCCAACTGAAAGCTGTTCAGCGGTGCTTTACATGAATACAAACATGGAACAACACAAAAGTTAAAAGTTCTTGTAGAATGTTTTCAAGGATTGGCGGAAAGAGTCAACTGAGTTTGCAGATCTGACTTCAAGAGGGATACTATTCCACAGTGCTGGGGCTGCCACAGAGAAGGCATGAGTTCTAGTGAATAGGACAGTGATCTGTGACTGTTCTGAGGACCGGAGGTTTCGTGGCGGAATATAAGGAGTGAGGAGCTCCTTCAAGTAGGTCGGGGCTGTCTCACAGTGAAGAGCAGAGTAGGTGAGGGTCTGAATTTTGAAGGATACACGTTTCTGGATTGGGAGCCAGTGAAGCTGTTTCCGGATAGGTGTGATCTGCTCATGCTGTCTGGTACGGGTAATGACTCTGGCTGTTTTATTCTGGACTCTTTGTAGATCCAGATCATGACAGTAGAGAATTGCAGTAATCCAGATGCAAAGTGACATATGCATGCACAAGCGTTTTGGTGGCATCAACATCCAGGTATCGTCTGATATTTCCGATGGTACAAAGTTTGAAGTTTACGGTTCTGGCTGTCTGTAGGGTTTGAGTCTTGCTTGACATACACCTGTCCATTTGAACACCCAGATTCCTGACAAATGTGAAAGGTGCTACGGAAGATGACCAACTGAGAGCGTGTGGTTTTCATTTTCTTCTGAGTTGGTGGGAGGTGCCGATCATCATGAATTCAGTTTTGTCACTATTGAGTTTAAGGAAGTTTGATGACATCCAATTCTGAACTTTGCAAACACATTCATCTAGCTGTGAGATTCCATTCCTGATATTACGAGGTTTAATGCCAATGTACAGTTGTTGGTCATCAGCATAGCTATGGAATTGGAGTGAGTACCGGCGTATAATGCCACCTAGAGGTTTGGTGTAGATTGAGAAGATGACGGATCGAAGAACCGACCCCTGTGGAACCCCACACTTCAACGCCTTGCTGTCTGATGTGACACCATCAACTAGAACGGATCTGGACCTCTCATCAAGATATGACTCAAGCTATGTCAGAACTGTTCCTGTAATCCCAAATGTGTACCGGAGACATGATGTCAGGATGCTGTGGTCTACTGAGTCAATAGCCGCCGAGAGATCAAGTAGCACAAGAAGAACAACTTCTTGACGGTCCATAGAGCGAAGAATGTCGTTGTGAACTCGGAGCAGCGCTGTTTCCATTGAGTGCGATTTCTTGAATGCAGACTGGAAAGGTTCGACAGTTCATGGTCAGATATGTGCCTGCTTAGTTGAGCGAGGACCACTTTCTCCATTACTTTCGAGAGAAAGGGCAGGTTCGAGACCGGCCTGTAATTCTTATAGGCCTAAGGATCCAAGGAAGCCTTTTTAAGTAACGGGGTAACCAGTGCCTGCTTGAAGCATTGTGGCACTGTGCCAGAGTCCAGGGAGCAGTTGATGACTGAACAAGCTGGTGCTGCCAGTGAAGACATGCAATGACGCAATAGCCACTTTGGAACTGGGTCAAGAGAGCATGATTTACAAGGTGCCGCTCGAACTATTCTGGCCACATCCTGTTTTACTCACAGGGATGAACTCCTTAAGGATGGTGCCACTGAACTCTGTGTCGTCTGACAGGGGGTCCTGATGAGACCGTTCGTTTGAAATGTCCTCTACAATTGTCCGTGAAGAAATCAACTAAGCGATTAGCGTGCAGTTTGGAATCTGATGGACACCTTCCAGAACTGGCTTCCTTCACTTCTGTTAGCTTCTTCACGATCGGGAATAGCTGTTTGGAGTTGTGTCTGTTCTCACTGATGCTATCCATTATGTGGAAAAGTTTGGCTTTCTCGATGAGTACATTAACATTATTGCGAGCATGTAGGAAGATTTGTCTGTGGACCACAAGTTTGGTATTCCGCCAGGTCTTCTCGGCTCGCCGTCGTACATACTTTGCTTTCAGTATGTCTTTGTTAATCCAGGCTGATTTAGGCTGTATGATATTAGCAGTTCTTACAGGAGCATGTAAGTCCAGAACTTCACTCATTGCTTCGTGGTATGCTGCTGCTCTCTCATCAGCACTACCATTACATGAGGATGTTACACAAAGCATTGGTTTACTCTCCAGATTCCTTCTCACATCACTGTGGAATTTGACAACATCAATATCGCGGGTCTTTCTGTACGTAACTGATTTACGTACAGGACGTGGTTTGCACACGCTCAGAGTGCAGAACACACTTGAATGGTCGGAGATACAATGGTCAACGACGTCAACTGATGACGCCAAGGTGTCAATGGCCTTATTGGTGACTAGATCTAAAATATGTCCACTACAGTGTGTTGGGGGAGTAACATGTTGTGTAAGTCCAGCTGTGTAGAGAATTTCAAGGAACTTCTCAGCCAAAGGACAGCATTTATCATTAACATGTATGTTGAAATCCCCAAACATGAGAAGATAATGGCTTGTACTTGTCACTACCTCTACCAGATCCGCGAGATCTGAGAGTATCTTGGAGTGAGTCAGTTTGTTCCTATGTGAGACGGGTGGTCTGTACACAGGTACCAGTCTGATGTGTGTTGTTCCTATTTTGATATTCATGTCCAGGAATTCAAGACTTTGATATTTGTTTCCAGATGTATTCATGGGACAAACACTGATAGAGAGTTGGAACAGCACAATTATACCACCGCCTCGTCTTGTGTCTCTGTTGTATTGCCTAAACGAATAACCTTCAGGTGTCATTTGTCGTAAAACAACAGAATCACTAGATTTCAACCATGATTCAGTTTTTATGCACACGTCAATATCGTGTTCAAGAATATAGTGATTGATTTCACTGGCTTTGTTTCGAACTGATCGAGCATTAAGCACACAAACTTTGGGGTTGGATGTTTCCGTGACCTCATTTGTTGCTATGGGAACAACTATAAGGTTACTCCGATTCACACCTCTGTGGGTCATTGTGGTTGTTGCCCTAGATAAGTGAGATAAAATAATCACTTTGGTTGATCTCTGAACTTTTCTACCACCCCTGCAACCTCTTTTCTTGAACATTTTCCGTCTATTGTTCACCCGAGTGTCAATCAGTGAGTACTGATTACAGAAGCTGATGTTCTTTACTGTTTCCCGAGTGGTAATTACTTCGATTTAAAACCCAGTGCTTGTTTAGATGATAGAGATATAAATAAACTTAACATTTCTATTTTCCTTAAAGGTTTCATTTGCCTCCTGTACTTCTAGTTCAGATGGAAAATCCAATGAAAGGCATTGCCTACTTTACTGTTATTACAGTTTGGAAATCTCTATGTTTAGACATGCAATCGTTTTTAAGGATATCAGACCATCGAAATACCTGGAATCTTATACCTCTTTGCTAAATTCATGTTTTATTGTAAAAACACATATATAAGCTGTTGAGAACAAAACAATTAAAACCTCATGAATTTCGAAAATCAGCACAGATTGAATTGATGACATAGGTTGACGACTTGCAAAGTGCTATATCATAACAACGTATAGTATGGATTTGCAACTTTTTTATTATAAAGGGGGAGGGGGGAGGGGAGAGACTTATTTGTGTAGGTCGAGTTTGCTAAGGTGGATCTTGCCTTGGCGTGCTTTTGCGATGGGGCCACAGGTATGAGGTGATGGTTAATTTTTCAGCAACAGCTTATATCAACAATATTTCATATATCAGTGATTCACAAACATATACGTATGACATAGTTGGACTCCTTAGACGGATACTGCCCTTAGCAAATACATAGGTTCTAAAGATTATGTGTTCGGCCGGGTATTTCAATTATACCGCGGAGTTTAGAAAACCAGGACAATCAGCATTGCCATTATATGACACAATATGAGTTTTATCATGCTTTCATCCTTGTGTAATCAAATGTAACCAATTATGCACATTTAATTGAATACAGTGATGGTGAGCCTAAGTGTTACCTTTTTTAGCAGAGTGCAAACAAATCTGCCTTCATGATTAAATATGAAGAGGTTGGTCATCTTTTGGGTGACGTAAAGACCTTTATAAAAGGACTTTCCTATTTGGGAAGATTCGTAAGCAATCATGTCAGATGTGTGTAACCTCCAAATATATCATATATTCCCTCTCGTGCAAAACCTGACAATTATGTCATTAATGAATCGATTTTAATACTTGTAATTCGTTGCAAAAAAATATCTAATAAACCGTTTAATAACAATGTTTCGTTTCACAATAACTAGCTGTTACATATTCCTCAATAAATAACGTGACTATAATCGATGCAATGAGAAAATAATCTAAATTTTGAGAGAAAAAAATGAAATAACGAAAAATTTAGGTTTGAAAAAATCATTTAAACTGCACCATTAAGTTTTCGTAATTAACAAACAGCTTATCAATCAGTTGTTAAATGATTTTAGGTCCTGAGCTGACTGGTGGGCGGATCATGGCAGTAGTTGATAATATAAGTACGCTAAAATAGAAATCACGGGTAATTCCATAATTTATAAATAGTATACCTGTCGCTTGACACACGTCATTCTAACATCTGTAATGATCAGTGTAAGCTTTACACCGGGTCTGATTTCAGTTGTTTACAGTGAATAAGGTGTGGAGTAATTGTGTAAACAAGCTTGGCTTCTGTCACTGGCTGAGGTCATCGAATGTATTGTCACCGAACGTTCGGATTATTTGTAGTTTGTGGAGAAAAGGTGAGCAAAGAAATTGTGTATGTCTCATATACCAACAAAAGGACGTTAAAGGATACCGGCCCATGTTATAAGACTGTAGCTGACCTGTATGACACTTTAGTATAACCAGAAAATAATCGGACGTTCTTTTACTTCTGAGTAGTATGCTTGACATATGCTACAAATCGTTAAACAATTGATTGGTGGCTGTGAATATCGATATACTACCTACCTGCAACTGGCTACGTTTCTGTCAAGCAAGACAATCTTTATATGAAGTTAAGAACTATTGCTATTCAATAAACGGATATATCTATGGTAGGGGGTGGGGGATGGGGGTTAGGGTAGGTAAAACAATCATCACATCGTTGTTATAGTTGATGACAGAATGTAACAATTGATGTTTATTAGATTATGGTGTTAGATAATGTTAGACTTTTCCAGTTATAAGGAGTGTTCACACAGTAAGGGGGATGTTGACAGTAATTAGTATATTATTGATAAGGTTGGCACATATAATCTGTGAATGTGTTGTATAGCAATTAACGCCCATGTATATATTGATTCTGTTTCAATACAATGTCACATTCCAGGAAGTGGTAGTCGGTATCGCTTCGTGGAAAAGAAATATATGGGTCACACCATTGATTAAGGTCATCGTGACACAGGGACAGCTGTATGCGGTAAGGTGGTTAAAGGATCACCCCGTCCTCTCTCGCCATATTACGCAATCGCTCCCTTTCTTTCCGACACTCACCCTCTATGTCTGATTGTTACTCTCTCTCTCTCTTTCTCGCTCTCATTGTAACTCATCCTATTACACTCACTCTCTCACACTCTTACTCATTCTCTCTCTGTGTTACTTTTACTCACTCTCCCACACTCATTGTTACTTTCTTGCTTAGTAACTCTCTCTCTCGGAGCGGTGGGGTAGCGTAGTGGTTATGTACAGCGTTCGCTCGTCACGCCGAAGACCCGGCATCGATTTCCCACATGGGTACAATGTGTGAAGCCCATTTCTTTCTGGTATCACCCGCCGTGAAATAACTGGAATATCGCTTAAAGCGGCGTAAAACCTTACTCATCTTATGGAAACAACCTATAAATGTGCATATTTTATTGTAGACACAGGATGGAGTTTGATGCACACAGGAACACAACCGACTCAGACGAATCTGTGTATGGCAGTGCGGATGAGCTTCCGTCTGATATCGACGTGTCTGATGCTGAAGATAATGACCATCAAAGTTCAGATAACACAAGCGTGCCAAACGGAAACAGGAAGGTGCCAGCAGGAGAAAGATCTCTGGAAGACGTGAACAGGCAAATCTTTGAATTATTTGCCAAGCCATACTTGGATCGTCAAACGGATTCACAGGACGCTTTACTGGATATAATGGAAAACATAATTACATTTAGTGTACAAATGCTTGGAGAAAGAGTGAAAATATATGCCGAAAAAGCGTATCATCTGAGTAAAGATGGTTCAGTCCATGGGACGGACATAAAAAACATGCTCCGGTTTCATGAAGACTTTCTTATGCAGGGATTCAGACAAATGGATGTTCAGGTTCCTCGTCAGCTTGAAGCCCCGTCACTCTATTATGGTATGTTTACAACACCCTGTCCAACTTCCATGACACACTATCGTCAAAAAACATCAAAATACTTCACTTGAATATCAATAATACAACAGTAAATTATCATTTGTCGTGGCAACCAACCAATTTTAGAGAAAATTATTTCGAAGTATCACTGGCATTCCGTGTAAAACAGTTCTTATACCTTCATGATGACTTGCTAAATAACATGGTTCTTCAGTGGCACATGTACATCCTGTACATACGTATTGTAGCCATTGTCCCCCATTGGCATTTCGCTAGCTGGAATCATTGCACGAGACCTATCAGTCAAGTGGCTGTACGGATGAAGATTATCCTTACAAAAGATCCTATGTCTGATGTTGTAACATATTGGTTGCAACCATACTTCAGCCCCTGCTTTATGTGCTACTTAATATGAGTGAGTGAGTGAGTGAGTTTGGTTTTACGCCGCTTTTAGCAATATTACAGCATTATCACGGCGGGGGATACCAGAAATGGGCTTCACACATTGTACCCATGTGGGCAATCGAACCCGGGTCTTCTGCATGACGAACGAACGCTGTAACCTCTAGGCTACACCACCGCTCTACTTAATATGAATATCTTTAAATGCAATTGTTTGAGTGTGTAACTCACCAGTAACTAAAACATCACATTATTTGGGATATTAAATTTATTCTAAAATATTCAATCAATTCCAATTTACCAGGGCTATATTTCAATGCAAGTCTTGAAGAACAAAGTTTTGGCCATCAAGATAAGAAGTGCACTTGCTCGTGTCATATATCCAAAGGTTATTCCAATATGTTCTTTGTCTAATACTAGGTTCACACAACACACGGCTCCAGCATGTTATCCACGACTGCTACCACGTTATTCGCAGGGATCTAATGCTGGACCGTACAACACTGCTGGACCAAATGGTCCAAGATGACCTCATATCTACCACAGATGCATCGAGTATACGAAATGACAGAAGGCGGAACGAACGTTTCCTTCATTACTTGCATGGAAGGATGTCGTCTGTGGCATTTGAACAGAAATTTCTTCCAATCCTGAAAAAAGAGCATCCGAATTTAGAGGAAACTCTCAGAAGAAGTCTCTCAAGTTTTAAAGGCATTGACGTCCCTCGTAAATGTTCTGTGTGTTTCATGAAAGACACAGTTGAACTTCGTTGCATTGCAGAGGACATGCTAAGCAACAATGTCATTACAGTTTCAGAGACAGATGACATGAGGAACGATGCACTCAGCCACGAAGACAAATGGAAACGGTTGCAAGGACACGTTAAAGACTTCAGAGCTTTTGTAAACAGCTTAAAGAAGAAATATGAAAACGTTTACCAGCGGTTAATGGCCGATGAAGCCAACTCATTTCAGTGCTTGTGTCAGAGGTCAGATGTTGATTGGACACATCTTGATTCTGGAGACGTTACAGATAAAGCATCAGTTTTACAGCTGATGATGCAGCACGTGGTACAAACTGTCATTTTCTGTTTCATTCACAATATATATTTTTGAAGATATTATGAAATGCCAGCACTCCAGAACCCGGAGTAATAAGTATCGATAACCTGTCGAAACAAATTAACGTTGACGTAAAAGTAAACTGTGGTAAAAAATTGTATGAATGACATCTAATGAATCTAACAAGATGTTCGTAATGCATTAGTCAGTGATGTGGAGCAACTGATGTACATAATATCTTGTCATAATATTGTTTCAGGTGGGCTTGGTAACTCGTTGTACGATCGTGTGGCCAATCGTATTTTCCCCTTACTTGCTCAACGGTTTCAAGAATATTTCTACAATTTCAAGGAAAGCCCAGACTTCAAAAATGCTGTTGTAAGCTACATCATATTTGTGTTACTGAAAATAAAATCTGATCATCTTATCAAATACGTAATTTATGGGCATATCTGATTCATTGACAACAGCAATATATACACAAGAAAATACCTTCGTAACCATTGGCAACAGCAATATATATACATAAAGATACCTTCGTACTCGTAGGAGTACAATTGACAGGTAAACACCTGGTAGCAACAGTATCTGATAATGATTCATAGTCACATGTATATCACACGTCATGACCCTTAAGTTTGTGGAAATGGTTCTACTGCTTTCTATAAAGAATAATGCATCGTACCAGCAGAAGCGTTCCATCTGCTTTACCATATTTTTAATTTCGAAAGTGAAACACAGTATGTGTCATTCTCTTCAGAATCAAGAAATGAGTTCTCTCTCAGGCAACTCGGTCTCCAACCTTCTTTCACAAGTAAGTTGATGACAAGTCTTACGCCAATACGGTGTATATAATCTGCCTAGCGTAATAGTAATACCTAGGGGTGGTGAGGTAGCCTAGTGGTTAAAGTGTTCGCTCGTGACGCCGAAGACCCGGTTCGATTTCCCACATGGGTACAATGAGTGAAGCCCATTTCTGGTGCCCCCCACCGTGATATTGCTGGAATATTACTTAAAGCAACATAAAACTAAACTCACTCACTGTACTTATGCCCACAAGTCATTGATGCACGTTGCTCTTTCATCATTTTCTTGTTTCGCCTCTCCAGGGTTCAACATATCCCGCTTCACTGTTCCTCCACCCCCGCCAGGAACAACCTTACCGATACCAAGGGAAATGTCAACAGTTGGTTATCGTCAACCATACATGTTTGGAACGTTTATGGGTATGTAAACGATCAATGATGACAATTTTGAAAGGATAATATTAGTCACATGTCATGTGGTATGTTCATCTTTACAAGAACACCAAAAAGTAAGACATGATTCTGACACTTTGGTAACGTAGTTCCAATAGATGACTGAATCATTATATAGCTGCTGGGAGGCGAATATAACTAACGACTAAAATATTAACACATATTATGTTAGCAGCATAAGTGCCCATAATAGATGTCAGTACCATACGTGTTCAAGGTACCTCACAGCAAGGGATGCCACCTGTTGGATCACTACAGTATCCAATGGCACTTCCTGGTCCACCACCACTAATAAGGTCACAGCTGCATGCACCATCTACCTTCAGTTATTCAGTGCCACCACCACCACAACCACCAGTGCAGTATCTACCGATTCCTGGACCAAACTGGAACACCGCGGTTTCACGAACAAATGGTAACTAACCTTTCAGAACCAACATCACGATGATTCTTCTGACAAGTTTAGCAAATGATTGATAACGCCTGATTTTAACAATGTATGATTAAATAACACTATGGAGACTCTGGGATTGTAAATAATGTATGATTAAATAACACTATGGGGACTCTGGGGCGGTATGTCATGCGTTATATACCCAAAATGTCTCTAATAACGATGTGTTTCATCAAGTATTTTCCCATTGCAGATCCTGTTTTTGAACAACCTGCACAAACAGCGGAGGAAAAAGCTAAGGTAACACAGTATATATGTATTTTATTAATGATATGAATCAGAATTTGTTTTGAGTAGGTGAGTGAATCCTATTTTATGGTGCAGTTAGAAATGGTCAGGTTATGTCATAACAGCATGTAATGACTTGAGCCAGACCAGAGGTGTGAGGACCAACAGGGTGTGATGAAACATAAAACTGGAAACCACAAGCACAAAACCATCTCCACAGACACAAGAAAACTTACAAGCACAGTCAATTGTACCATTCTGTATCGGACCAAGACCCAGTACCTTATATTCTACCATATGCATATTGTAAATGTACTACAGGCCTGTGGCCTCTTTAGTACTGACTATTGATGATACCAAGTGCTTGCTACTTCAACATTGCCACCCATAATGAACACATGCAAAGACAAGTCAACTATTTAAAGAAAAACCTGGAAACGTGTACAAATCAAGAAAGGGAATTCCATCACCATATCCTCATTTACCCCCTCATACCACAAACATGAGTCCCTATGTTTCTGTGAGGTATGTGGACACCTGGTCTAATAGGTCAGTACTGTAACTATCATACATGACCATAGATCAGCCAATGTCATAGATAAGCTGAGGTCCGAACTTGACCCTTAAAATCAAGATGATATGCTTAGTACATAAGTTGAAACACCAACCATCATTCATCTTCTCATCATGATCAGACTATCCATTTCTGTCGTTTCAATAGGGGTACATGTGATTAGATGTCACGTGACCGGAAACAAACGACATGTGCATGTCATAAACGGTTATTCAATTTCATACTTATTTTTATCATGCACATATGAGAAGTATTTTTTATAACACCCTTTTAGTACATTATTTAAACCAAATGAAACTTTGACAACATTATTAAGGCAACAATACCTCAAATCAATCACACATCAATGTACTCTTAAGACAAACAGTTAGGGATCTTTAACATGTTTGAGAATATGTTTAAGATTTTCTTATTCTGGCTACACTAGAAAGAAATAACTATCTTCATGATCCAAAACCTCACTTTGTTTGGCCCAGTATCATATTTCAAGATATAAAACAGACTGTTGATACTTGGATTCTTAGCCCTTTCTGAATGAATATTTTTATATCATGGCCAATGTTCTTAACATTTTCTGCAAACAACAGCCAACATTCGAAACCATAAAAGAAGAGCCAAATGAGGACTTGAGTGTTGATCTTCAAGCTGAGTCAGCTGAAATGAGATTCCAGAATTTAGGAAACAGACTCTACCCAAAGGTGAAGGACATGACATCTGCAAACCCAGGGAAAATAACAGGAATGCTTTTAGAACTTGAAACCAAGATGATTGAAAAACTGATAACATCACCAGACGAACTCAAGCTAAAAGTGAGTCTTAACAGGAAGCTACTTTGTATTTCACCACCAAGTGTAAATGTATCAATTTCAACATGAAATTTGTTATTTGTATATAATGCGATAGTATTCTGTCAACAGTATTTTAAAGTCACTTTTGAGAATCTGTTGTGGGAATGGAGCTGAAAAAAGATTATTTATTTGCTTAGTCCATAAAACAAATCCCATGTATGATTCTTAAACCCAATTCAGAAATATACATTTGGAAATATAAGGTGAACCGTTGTTATTAATAATAGTTTTCTCCTTCTTTTAGCTGTATCAAAGAGGTATACTTCATAAAAAGAAATGAAAAAAAACCACACAAAAGATACGATATACAAGTGCTTCGGTGATATTTAAGTACCATTGGAATCAAACCATTCACAACTACTCCTGTCATTCCGACAAGGATTGCTTGTAGGTCATGGACAGCGGCGAGTAGTTACGAATGGAAACAAACATGGATTAAGTAGTTCTGATGTTCATACGCCAATATGAAATCCTTCCAGAGGGCCACGAGTCGCTATTCGGTTTGTCCCGGAATTGCACGAGTTGGTCACAAATGTACGTCACTAGTAATACCTTTGATCATTTGTTTCAGGTTGAGGAAGCTGAAGACATTTTACAGAAACATCTTGACAAGGACAAGACCCAGTGATATCAACCTATATCTTCTATACATCATATTACATCCTGTGTTTTAGAATGCACTGCAGACAGTCAAAGCATTTGAAATCTTACCATCTAGGATGAAGAAATGGCATGTGTGCTTCTTGAAAGGACTGGCGATTGACCAAAACAAATCAGGCCACTGATCTTAGAAAGACTTGAAAGTCCATGCTAACACGTAACTTTCTTCAAATGCTGAGATGGTACCATCATCATGGTATATAAAATAACTACCAAAGATCTGGATGGATCTGATGGAACACCTGGACTAGTCATTGAACAATGATACTGCAATCACTTCCACTAGAGATGGTTTGTCAGAAGGTCTCAGGTCTGCTTAGTTATGTCCAACCCTGTACCAGTGTCTCGGACAGATCACAGCAGGTCAGCATAATGGAGGAAAGGCTAAGTGACCAGGTGCTGATCAACCCAGTACGACAAACCACAAGCTACAGAGACTGCATAAAGTTGATTTGACTTCATCCTGATCAAAACATTATTCTCAACCGAACTCATTTGAAACATTCCTGGCAAAATTCAATTCCACACCATACAAACCCCACTGTGTTGAACTGTGTTGAACTCCGTCGGGACCAAGGTGAAAGTTCGACTTATCCGAGTGTTCAACACATCCGTTAGCATAGAAATGACCAAGTACCAACATAACCAAAGTGCTTACAGCATCATTGTTCTACACTAGGCTATACATATGAACAATACATCTTTGCAATAAACGTTTACTGCAGTACTGATCATTAAATTAAAATATAACATGAGCATGACTTTTGATTGTGCAAATGAAGTTATCAGTTAGAAAGAACCAATTAGTTCGAGACAAAAGGGTTAATTTGTACTTATTTGAGTTTTTGGGGACCCTAAAATGAGTTCGACACAACCGGGAATTTGACACATCTAATTCAAGACATCAGGGTAAAAATAATGATAAATATAAGGAAATCAGCAGGGACCTAGAGATGAGTTCGACACAACCGAGATGAATTCGTCTCAACTGAGTTCAAGACATTGGGGTTCAACTGTAGATATAAAGAAAATCCCGGTCAGAAAGCCACATCCACATATATGCATTGATCCTGCTGGCCAGTTTCAAAAGAAAACAAGTAACACAACAACATTTGCATGTATTTACTTCCATGTTTCTGGGTTATACAGATGAGATCTCATGCAACATAAGATATTTACTGAAATAACTTATCACACAGTTTGTATGTACACAACAAACTACAGAGTCCTGTCTGACACATCCAGTCTCCTCATACAAGTCCCAAACAAATCAGGAAATCTAACATACTAATGACATGATAATACAAATGAAATACATATATATACTTCAAAAACAAATATGTTGAAAGTTTCCGAAAATGCAATTTGTCCATTATAAGACTTATGTTATTGTGGTGTTTCTTGGAGGTGTTCTGAGATGGAGTTCATGAAAATATATTTTATCATGTCACTGACGTACAGAGTTACCTGCCCTTATATATTGAAATACAGTGAGTGAGTGAGTTTGGTTTTACGCCGATTTTAGCAATATTCCAGCAATATCACGGCGGGGGACACCAGAAATGAGCTTCACACATTGTACCCATGTGGGGAATCGAACCCAGGTCTTCCCAGGTGGGAATCGAACCCACGCTTTAACCATCAGGCTACCCCACTGCCCCTTGAAAGACAGACACAATAAGACATGATTTAGCAGACAAAACACATTAAATATCATTGATTGGCTGGTGAATGTAGAGTAAGACAATATGACAAAATCTCTTCAAGCCATCTGGATGCATTAGTTTTTAACTCACATGGAGGAAAGATGTGAGACAATGTTACAATAAAAATATAATATGTGTGTATTAATACTGCATTGACAGACATACACAAGGGTATGGTCAAAGCTCTGACATTATAACCCCAGTCATTCTCAACTCCCTGGGGAGTACCCAGTATACAACCCAACCTGCCTGTGAGGCAATGGAAGGTAACAGTCACATTACCATCTCATCCCACCAGGCACCCATTCACAGCTGGGTGAAGAGAGGAATATAATGATCAAAGTAACCAGCCTACATGAGTGAATGAGTTGGATTTTAAGCCCCTTTTAGCAATTTTCTAGCAATATCATGGCAGGGACACCAGAAATTGGTTTTACACATTGTAACCATGTGGGGAATCGAACCCAGGCATGACGAGCAAACACTTTAATCACTAGGCTATTCAGCAGCCCCCTCTGCCTACATGACCAATAATGGGAACTATTCTCCAAATATGCTGTTGATTTGGAATTGTTTTCTGTTTGAATGCTAAGGAACACCTCAGCCACAATATCACAACAGCCTGTGAATAACTCAACATTGTCCTATAAATCTGTTACAACAGGTGCAGCAACCTAGATCATACTGTGACAAACAAAAAAGCCTGACATCCTTATGTATATATAACTATACTATAACAATATTAACATCAACCATTGTTAATTATTTTCTGACAAAAACAATATATAATCATATCTAGTGGAACCTCACTAATCCAAACACTGTTCTCTGTGATATTGTCCAGATTAACAAATTTCCAGATAAATCAATCATCCATACAGAGCAACAACCCTTCTTACAATTGTAAATGTATATTTGTCTCGGATGAAGGGAATCAGAGATTAGCAGGTGCTTGACAAACAACGTTTCACTGTACACAGCAATCTGGGTCCTCAATACAGTTGTCAGGGGCGGATACAACTTTTGTGAAGGTCGTGTGTGTGAACAGTTCTTTTCACCTGTTTTCACAAGAGTTTAAATGGTCATTTAATAAACTTTCAGGACAAAGGAGGGAGTGCACACCCCTGCAACCCCCTCTGGATCTGCCTATGAGTTGTGTCTGTTGTTCTGCTTAGTTGCACATATAATAGTAACAAAACTTCACTATTACATTTGGTTATAAGTTAATGAAACAGTGAAATGGTTTATCTACAGCAAATAAGACATGAGCAGAGATCTTACAATAGTGAAGCTTTATTTTGACATGAAATAAATCTAATTACAAAATACAAACATTTCACAATTTAAAAACAATACAGAGGGGACACTATCAAACAAAACATGAATTACTGATAAATAACATCTCCATCATAGTACAGATTCCGGACCTGAGGCTAGAAAAAGCATATGTACAAAGATAAATATGCACCAAGGTTTATCATAGGATGACACAAACGCCATGATACATAACACATGTCAAGTCCTGGTACTCAGCTACTCACATCCTCACTAGAAATGACTAAAGAAGGTCATTTTACTTCAGACATTTCTACTTTTAGCAACATATCTTGGTCAGTAGGTGGGAAATTTTGTTTTCAAGATGATATTAATCTTTATTTGCTATTTGTGATGTGCCAGATGCGTGTGTCTTGTTGAGCTTTCTTAAACTATTTTCTTGTTGTCTCCTGTTACTTGGGCAACTCATTTCCATATCATGTGATGGGATTCGAACCATGGACCATCAGATCTGAGGTCAGGAGCCTTATCCATATGGCCACAGAGGTGAAACAGACATGGTAAGGATGTCATTATTGGGAAGACTTCATGCCTTGCACAATGTTAATTGGCACAAGTCATGGAATTTGATGAAACAGTGATATTCAGATATATAAGCAGGGCTCCAGATAACGTTTGGGTGTGTGGGTGTACTTACACCTCATATTTCAAAAGGAGGTGTACTGAGAATTTTGAAGGAGTACTGACATGTTTTTGAGTGAGCAAGTTGGTGATGTGGTTTTGTTATTTATAATATTAAACAACTTTTCAGCTACTAAACTTTACATATGTTAGATTACAAAGGTACTTGTGTGAGTACATGATACGCTTGAAATCTTATATTATATCGTACTTCATTTATTTTCAGGAGTACATTACGCCTGTACGCCCCTTATCTGTAGCCCTGTATAAATAAAATAACTACATTTTAGGTGTGTGGTAGATAAAATAGAATTTCTTACAAGAGGCCTAACAGGCAATACTTTGGCCATAAACTGGCACTGCGACAACACAACGTGTATTATGACTCCGCCCACCCCCCAACCTCAAGTGTCCCCACTGATAACTGTGCAGCATCAAGTGTTCAATCAATTGCTCCTACCAAGCTTGAATGTGTTGAAACCACATTGAGAACAGCCAAAGTGGCCCTCTCCATGTATGTCCAGCATCTATCTCTTCAAAGAATTATCTGATACCATCAAAGAATTATCTGATACTATCAAAGAATTATCTGATGCTATCAAAGAATTATCGGATACCATCAAAGAATTATCTGATACTATCAAAGAATTATCGAATACCATCAAAGATAAAATATCGGATACTATCAAAGAATTGTATGATAACATCAAAGAATTATCTGATACCATCAAAGAATTATCTGATACTATCAAAGAATTATCTGATACCATCAAAGAATTATCTGATACTATCAAAGAATTATCGAATACCATCAAAGATACAATATCTGATACCATCAAAGAATTATCTGATAACATCAAAGAATTATCTGATACCATCAAAGAATTATCGGCTACCCTCAAAGAATTATCGGATACCATCAAGGAATTATTGGATACCATCAAAGAATTATCAGATATTATCTATTAAACATAGCATGTCCATAATTTCATACAACACAGATTTACAATTCCATTTATTCAATTTATACTTCTGACTTGCCATATACCTCCTCTCATGGATATATGACACTCAAACATCATGAGTGATAACATGATTTTATACTGGTGGTGACAACTGTACAAACACACATATACAGCTTTCTTCTACACACTCTCACACACAGAGTAGAACCTGTGCTACAACTTGTCTCTCACACAGGCACAGTGCTACATGGTCTAGAATTACTTGGCTCAGTCTACAGGGAATATAGTCTGACTGAATGATGGCATGCTCTTCGTCTGTCTCACTTTGCGTATTGCATTGTCCAAGTCGCTGAAAGTTATCCGTCTTCTGTTGACAAGATCTTCCTCACTGGAGGAAAAAAACAGGAAACAGGAACTTAAATTGTCAAGAATCTTAACATCCACAAAATTATCATCTTATCTTGCTCACAGTTGCTTATCATTGTAAATCAACATATTTTTGTCAGCATAAGACAAAATCGAGGGGAGGATATGGTGTTCTTTGTAGTCCAGTATACTGGTTTTATAGTGCTGGTACACTGAGATACCTTACTGCTAATTAACATAGATATCACATTCAGACTCAGACTACTGGCTCCATGGCGACCAATCCTTGTTTGATTCCTTTAATAATGAGTGCAAGACAGGGCAACAACAAGCACCATTAATGGACATCCTTTTGTATAGCGCGCAGGTAGGGATCTAACGGTTGACAGTCTGCTCTCAGGGCAAACACTTTCTCCACTAAACCACAGAGAAGGTTCTGGGGAGAGTTTATTGACTAGACCATGAAGAAAGTTGAGAATCTGAAGTAAGTCTCACCCAGTGTGTACAGTGTTGTTGTTTCTCTGTATAACCAGCTCCTGGACTGTTGTGATGGCTGCAGACCGACACACCTCACGCAGATCACTCCCAGAGAATTCACTGGTCATGTCAGCCAGGCGATCATAGTCAATATCGCTGGCCTGCAGGGATTAAATTAGCACATGACTAAAATAAACTATAACTTTCACATTTTTCATCAACAGGTAACAAAAAGAAGATTCCCCTAAGAGAGATAAACAACCAACAGCATCTCTCACAAATTTCAAACAAGGGGACTGACTGGTGAGTCAAACCCTACACAGTATTTCATCAATCACAAACAATGAAGGGCTGAAGTTGTTAAAATCTTAGATCGCCGGGTGCAACACAAAGTTTAGGTCTCAAAAAGATAAAAAAGCCAGCATGAATACAGTAAAATGGACATCTTGTGTACTTACATGTTCCTTTTCTAGTATCAGCTTGAGAATCTGCTTTCTTGCACTCTTTATCTAAGGAAATAATACAAAACCATTTAAAACGCTATAAATAAAAAACGTGACTTTGAAACATGTCAAAGGACAATGATAAATATGAAGTAAGCTGATCCATGAAATGTTTAAAATTTAAATTTCTGCCTCAAACAAGACAATCTTAATAAAAGTAATTCTTTTATCTGGCAGCAAATTATTAACGGACCTGTGGTTATTCCCATGATACACTGTTTAATAACAATAACTATAAAGTTCCAAGGTTAACATTCACTAAAGTTTCCTTCTGAGAACGCACTTTTGACTTTCAGATGTTTGAGGAAAGTCAGTTTCATTGTGTGCATGATCAGATTGTTTTACATGAATTTATAAATAGTTTTTGCAAGGACTCTGCTAAAACAATTCTCAATCAGACATTTTGTCCCAACCCTGGAGACATGCAGTGGGTTCACAGGAAGTGCCAGTAATAACAAGTTGGGTACATATCAATTAAATTTGGACCCATTAATAATTTAAACCCTAGTCCCTAAAAAGGAGCACAGTGTAAAATTGTCTTGGTTACCTGTGGTGTACATAATCTATATAAAACACAAAGATGCTAGCTTATGAATGAATAACAGATTGTTGACTGACCGGCAAACCAATCTTAAACATGCTGGGCATCCGTCTCAAGATGGCCGCATCCACGTCCTGGGGCCTGTTTGTGGCTCCCATCACCATCACATGACAGTTTGGGTCTGTGATCAGACCATCCCAGAAACTCATGAACTGGGTCTTTATCATCACTGTTGCCTCATGGTCTGTGGACGATCTAGATCGTAGGAAGGAATCTATAACAGAGATACTTAGTGCCAATATAACAAGAAGACAAAGTCATCAATATCCCGCGCAATGGCAAAATACTCTTCAGGATTATGTCTACGAATTATGATTATGTCAAATGTTTTGGTGTGTATATACAAAAGTGGAAGGAGCGTATTGAAAGGTTTTTAAAGTTCTGGGCCTAGATTTTCGAAGCTCGCTTAGCGCTATGATAGTCGTAAGTTAATGTTAATGTATGGCACTTATGACTATCTTAGCGTTAAGAGAGCTTCGAGAATCACACATCAAATTACAACATGGCAGTGGCCATAAATAGGGTGAATGATGTACATGTATAACCCATTCAGTAATCTAGCCTTATCACCATGATCACAGTCATTCGTCAAGTCTGGCTCAGACAAACCAATGACTGAAAGCATGATGGGGTGTGATCAAATCAGCTGAAATTTTGTATATGGCAATGTAGTTTTAGACACTTATATTATACAATAAAAAGACATTGTACTTATTTTTACTGATTTTTCTGTAAAGTGAATTATGAGGTTGGGTGAGGTTTAAAAATCGCATGTCAAGATTATTGAACTTAGACCGCAAATCACATGTTCATGTGTATGTGTGTGCTTGTACAAGTCCCAGCTGATGATGGGGTTTTTCTACAGTGCTAGCGCACTGACTGACTGAGTTTGGATTTATGCCGCTTTTCGCAATATTCCAGCAACATCACGGCAGGGGACACTAGAAATGGGCTTCAGAGCTAGCTCAGTGAGATACCATGACACTGTATAGCATGAAGAGGCACAGTATACTGACTCCACACTGTCCTGTGAAGTTATAAACCCTGATTCGGAATGCCAGGCAGGTTAAAAACAAGTACCATACACCTCTCTGGGCTGACACTCTGTCAAATGGACTATGGAGACAGTAAAATGTGCACAGATATTTTGTATCATATACTATCAATTACCCATGTATATTTAGTGACAATCTAATTTTGATAGTAAAAACATACCAATTTCATCTATGAAAATGATTGTTGGCTGCAACTTTATTGCCTGCAAAGAAACATTTATGATAAATTTTAATGTAATATATACTTAACATCAATCATACAATGTATGTACATACAACACTGAGTCTTTCATTAGGGGTGAAACTGTACGCTTTTACCATATTGCGGTACAAGGCCTTCGGTTCGGTTTGGTATATGAGATACGATCATAATGCAGATAAATTGACAACAAGAGCCAAACATTGGTAATTTTGACAAACTGATTTGATTCCTAGACATTTTAGAAAAGGTTTAAAAAGGTCAATAAAATGATGGCATGAAAACCGAAAATACTGAATTTTTGGATTACATTATGGCATACCAAACCAAAGGCAAAATACCATGGTTCTACTAACACCACAGAGTATGATCTCAGACAGTGCAATCCAAATATAGTACACTGTACGTTCGTGCTTTGGTTGATAGAAATGTTGTAACAGGCTCGTTTTTTCTCGTTTTTGATTACTGTGAGTATAGTTCAAGCGCTAAAATGAGCGAAATACTTCTTCTTACTCTTATAAACTATAATTCATTGCCAATTTGAATAATGACCCTCTAAATTCTTTCAAATGTTGAAAGCACATCGCCGATTTTGCTCTTTCGCAGAAAACATCAAAAATAAAGCCACACTATTCCTTCATTTCGCAATTTCTTGGTATAATTTGACAACATATGACATATTTGATAAATAAGCTTTCAAATGGTGTATAATATTCCTAACATAGAGTATTTGTTTCTTTACAGTTAAACGTAACCCCCTTATGCATCATCACTGTACATGTTGATAGCCGTTAATACAGTTGGTTGATAGAGCTTTCAAAATAAACCACTGTGTGGTTTCTAGTTAGTTCATGCTATCATGTCTAAGTAATTGAAGTTCATAATTTAATATTTGGCTTCGTTTTCTTAAGGTACTGCTGAATTCAACACAGACCGACAAAATGAACATTTCTGTTTGCTATTTTTGTGATTTTCGGACACATTCTTTCAACATTATCAATTATTGACCACTGTATTATCAGTCACCCATCCAGTGAATTAAAATACAAATTCGAAGATCATGACGACACACCCAAAAATCTTATCTAGAAACAAAAAGTATTAAGTAAAATTAAGTCCCCAAAATAGAAATTAAGCATTCGAACATTGAAAAAGTCTAAGAAAAAATGTGATATGAAGGAGGATATGTTTGGCCAAATGCATGCCTTGTCAATGAATGATTTAACAGAGGAACTAAATATTTTCATCGCATGAAGATGGCACTCCAATCTCACCGACAATTGTTATTCCTGCATGTGAGAGTTTTGATCGAGGTTCTATGAAAGGAATGACAGAATGGCTTCAGCTTGTCTAACTAACTTATAGGAAGTTGGGAATGATGATATGTTTCTTAACTTCAAAAATCATTTCCCTTGGATAATACTGCATTCATGCTGTTTCCCATTCGCTCGATAACACTGTACTGATGAGTGAGTGAGTGAGTATGATTTTACTCCGCCTTTAGCAATATATCAGCACTATCACGGCAGGGGACACCTGAAATGGGCTTCACACCCGTACTGATGAGATGCAGCAAGGTTCCAAAATGTTTTTGGAGGATTGGGCTAAAATTGTTCAAAGGGAAATTTTGAAATTCATGTCAGGCACAGTGACAGAGGGAAAAGTCCCTAGAGGTGTGCATGTTCCAGAGGATTCCAAAATAATAGAACTGATAGAACTGTTCTGGGCAGAATGAAAGGTCCTCTTAAGGGCAACCAACTTGTACCTGCTTGCATTATGCAAATGCTGGACATGAATGCTAAAACTGACCCAGAACAAGTTAACACTTACAAAATGTTTATTAATATAATCAAAATCAATGCCTGTACGGGTGGAAAGTTAGGTGATGTTGATTTATGGGGGGTTGAGGAACATCTGATTAAAACAGGTTACCGAATGTTCAGATGAACCAAAAAGAGTAGTTCTAGTCGTTGATTAATGGTGTCATTAGGATTTGCAGTGGTCACGTGAGAACTCAAAGTTGGAAAACCTCTTGCACTTGACAAATTTCTGAAAGCTGTAACTGGTGATTGGAGACAGGCCAAATATGCTTTCGTAATCAGTTCTCTCAAAACCAGCATGTACCAGATAAGCTGTACCATCGAAAACCTCCTGGCATAGATAAACTCAGGCTTCTTGTTGCAAAATGAAACATATCACACTTTATATTGCAACATTTATATTGTTTTTGTTATGAATAATAACGGAAACAAACACATTTGTATCACATGATAATGACAAGTGTGTGCATGAAGTATAAACTCAACCAAAGTTAGAATTATCCAATATTGAGTTTGTTGACATGTGTCTGAGACAACAATCTATGAACAGATGACTTAAGATTCTGTAAAATTGCAGTAAATAAATTCTTCGAAGTTTTAAGCAATTTCATGTATTCCTTCACAGTTCGCGATAACATACTTCGAAGATATACTAGAAATATATATACATACGTTGAATGTGTCCAAAATGACAATAAAGCGCACCTTTAAATAAGCTCTCAGTCAGAGAAACAAACGGTTTCGGCTATAATCCAGTACAGTGATGCTGCATTGTTGCGAGTGAACTCATTGACAACGTCATAACTAAACAACTTTGACACATGAATATTCACACACACATTGTACGATCCATTACGAATATGATACTGGTAGCTCTTTAGGCTAACATGATGGTATATGTGAGTAAAAGCGAAAGTGCACAAGCTGGTCGAATTTGGTTTGATGCGCAAGAGGTGAAAACAATTGTGTTTTCATTAACATACAGACATCTCGCTAATAATTAATGTAAATGCTATATCCAAGTTACCTAATGTTGTAGAGTAGCCTATCTGCATGTGAAATTATACTGTACTGTGCCTTTGAATCAACTTTTTGATCGAGCATACCTGTTCAGACAACATTTCTATCAACCAAAGCACGAACGTGCAGCGCACTATATCCGGTTTGCACTGTATGAGACTGACTGACTGAGTTTAGTTTTACGCCACTTTTAGCAATATTCCAGCAATATCACGGCAGGGGAAACCAGAAATAGACTTCACACATTGTGCCCATGTGGAGAATCGAACCCGGGTATTCGGCTTGACGAGACAACGCTTCAACCACTAGGCTACCCCCCGGCCCTGTATGAGATCATACACTGTGAACACTGCAGTATACCGTTTCACCCCTAGTGCATATTTTAACATAAAGTAACACACACAAAAAGACAACAATGCACAGTCTGTTCCCCATCCAGCACAATAATGCTTTCAAGGTTAAAACAACCCGACAGGCTTGAGATAAATGGGATGAATTCAGAAAACTGCAATGACATACATGGCAGATCATTGTGTGGTTTCATTTTTTCACAGTTTTTATTAACACTGTTTCATTCATTATGTAGTGCTTTGCTCAGCAATATTCCAGCTATATGATGACGACCTGTAAATAATCGAGTATTGCGATCGGCAATCCATGCAAGCTGGACATGATGACATGCATCCAAGCCACTGAACAACCAATTCCATTAAGATGAATCTGATGACAGCACCAGTTTAAGGGGACATAGATTAATCTGGAATCCAGGGCAGTGGTTTAAGCCTTCGCTCGTCACGCTGTAGACCTGGTTTTCGATACCCCACATGAGTACAATGTGTGAAGCCGATTTCTGGTGTCCCCTGCCGTGATATTGCTGGAATATTGCTAAAAGCCGCGTAACACTATACTCACTCACTAATCTGGATTCCCTACATGGTTGATAATTTAGATTCCATATGGATTATATACTGGAGTTCATGATGTACAGTTACATTATACCACTCACATCAGGATTTGACAAGGATGTCACATGCAACATTTCAACACTGAGACAGTATGAAAAACTGACTTTCAAATAACTATTTCCAATGTTCGTGTAAGCAAACTGTTAACTCACCAATGAGAAAACGGCCTCTGCTCTTTTCTGGGACTCTCCGTACCACTTGTCTACCAGGGAAGAAATTTGTAGATTCAAAAAGCGAGCTCCTACAAAAAATGAAAATTGATGTTTACCATATACAGTATTAAACATGTCAGAGACATCCTATCAACAGGATGAAATTGACATAAGCTGTTATAACCATGAGTGAACCAATGATTTGTGTTTTTTGGTGCGTTGAACTGCACACTCAAGATATCTGGGCTATATCAGGGTGTGACATCTCAAGGTGGGAGGAGAGCTCGGATTTTATGCAGGTCTTAGACATTTTTCACTTTAGAGAAAGCCATGAGTTTGGGTATGGTACTGACAAACCTAGAAACATAATCAGGCTGAACTGGGACTAGAACCCAAAATCACAGGGTTCTGGTACTCCCAAGGGATGCAACTCTGGGACAATTGTGCCTCAGTTACTCTAAGACTGGAGCAAGACAGATGTTAGTTACAGTTAATGAGACTTCTTGGTAGTTATTAGAAAGCATTAGTTCCCCTCAATGACACATACATCTATGACCAAATGCATTACATGCATATCCACTGATGCGGATGATTACATGAGCATAAAGTGTTAAAATTTGTGAGTCTATGACACAAAGACCTAAATTTGGTATGATTTGTTTGTACATTGGAACTTCCTGTAGGAACTTGTGTGTTGGGCTTGTAACTAATACAGACAATATAAGCAGTAAATGAGACCAGTTTGTTATAACATTGTTATAATATAACAACATGTATATTTGAATATTGACCCGTGAAGATCCGGGTTAGAATTGATCTTCAGTAACCTATGCTTGTCGTAAGAGGAGAGCAATGGGATCGGGTGAGCAGGCTCGCTGACTTGGTTGACAAATGTCATCGGTTCCCAGTTGCGTAGATTGATGCTCATGCTATTGATAGCTGGATTGTCTGATTCAGACTCGATAATTTACAGACCGCCGCCTTGTAGCTGGAATATTGCTGAGTGCAGCGTAAAACTGAATTCACTCACTCACTCAGATTTCAATATTGGATATTTGTTGATACTTAAGTTCATTGAAATTATACAAACATAATCAAATTCAAGTTTTTGAAGACACCATACCTGCAGCCTTTGCTGTAGCCTTTGCAAGCATCGTCTTTCCACATCCGGGGGGCCCATACAGCAGCACACCTGGTTACAGTAATGCTCTTCATCATGGACATCAGTCATAGTTAGTTACATGAATAACATGGGACTTCATCATTTATTACTGTCGTATCAATAACACGTCAAACTGCTTTGAATATACACCTACCTTCCACTCTCTGAAAGATGCTCAAAGAGCTAAACCATGAACATTTGATGGAGTCAGTCTTTATTATCATATGATATTATGAGTCATATATAATACAATGGAAGTTAACTGATATGTTTGTGGTTAATAATATACAAATTAAATCAAAGTAATGCATATATTTCTTATGCTTGATATACAGTCATGGCCCCGTTTATCCAGACCTCAAATATCCGAAAACTTGCCTTCCAAATGAAAATTCCTTAAAAAGAATTCCAAACGTTGTAAAATTACTCTTATCCGGAAATCTGTTTTCTGTAACTGGACGGATATTTTCACATACAAAACGTATATGTGCATTATATGCATTTTTTTTCGTAATATCCGGATGGCTGAGCACCTGTCAGTATGTTTACACACACATTTTACCGAGTGGCCTTGTGTGCCCTAACATAAAGGAAGTCGGCAGTCTTTGAAGCCTCAGAGGATTAACTACCTGCAAACAGCAAGGTGACACTGTATGCATTGCTATTTGTTGATGTCTCATCAATAAAGATTATGTCTATTATGTTCGTTTCTTTGTATGTCTTTTTACATATGGTTCTTGGTTCAAATATCCTGAAATTTGTTTATCGGACAATTTCAAGAAAAACACAAGTGTCCGGATAAACTGGGCACAACTGTATATGGATGACATAACAAACAAAGGACTTACTTCAAATGATCTTAAGATTACATTATGGACACCAACGATTTATCACTACAGGACAAAATAATGAGAGACCAAACATAATTCAGACTGTATAATGGAACACTAAATATTAATACAAGTATTTAGTAGAACACACAACAAAATATTTGTTCACACCTTTAGGTGGTTGCAGTAGTTGTGAATTTCTGAACAGGTCACTGTGAGTGAATGGCAGGATGACGGTTTCCTTGATGTCTTTGACGAGGCTGTCCAATCCTCCGATGTCCTCCCATGAGATGTCGATGCTCAGAGGGTCAACCAGGTTGGATGCAATGCACAGCTCATACTCAGACAACTAAACACAACAAAGTCAGTGAGTTAGGTGTAATGTGGCTTTGACCAGTACTGCAATATCACAGGATCATTGGGATGTCAGCTTGATGTAGAGGGTAGCCTTAAGTTTAGCATGTCTTTCATCATGTTCATATTTGGCATCTTGATGAATCTCATGAGTACCACTATGGTACTGGGAAACAAATGGGTTTATAACTCATGATAAAACATTTCTGGTGTTACCTAAGGAATGCAATTCAGCCATAAACAGAGAGCATAGAGTCAACAATCTCACTGATATTAGCATTACTGCTATGACCACATAAGCATTAATATCTTCAAGACTGACAAATAAGAATTAATCATATTTTCAAAACTTGCATGTATTTTCATAATTGTTATTATCTATCTGTCCAAAATGCATCTACAAGTGACCAACATGACAGAAGAAATATAGAACAATACAATGTTGAGAAAATGAGTGCTTGAAATACATACTTTTTGCACATTTTCAACTCCAAGACGCTTTAACATTTTCTGAGCCTGCAACAAAAAAGTTTTGACACCTTTATGATGTGGAAGTGTAAGTCAATTATTGTCACTACATTATTACCGCCATCCATTGTTGTTGTTGTTAGTCCCCTCGATTCATACCTACATGTTGTTATTACTTAATCCCTGTTGATGTTTATACCTATAAGTCTGTTCTGTGCTGCAGTACTTCACAATGCCATGTACATTGTATACCTAAATGTCACATCATCTATAATAAAGAAGTTACTATCCATAAAGTATCTTACTTTCCCATTACTCACCAACTGCTAAAAATACCAATCAAACAGATCAAGTTTTGAAATGTATGAACAAAAGAAATGATGAATAACATTTTATCCTTTCAAATTTAGTGCTCAACAATGAATTACATTGCAGTTAGATATGGAAAGCAAAAGTAGATCAACATAGTCGCTAGGGTGTCTTTTTATTATCTATCGGATGTTATGCAATTTGTAAAGCTTGTTAAAGAACCTTTTACACTTTCAAAGAGATTCATCATTGACCTCAACGAACAGGCTGATGCGGAAATCGTCCGCACAGTTACATCATTCGCAACTGAACACCGAACAGTTTGGAGAAGATCAATATAATCACAACTCATGTCAACAACCAAACATGTCAATAACAAAATCTTACCCTGTCCTGGGCCTCCTTTTTGTCCTTTCGCGTTGGATCCATTGCGTTGACCAAATATTTGACCCCGAAGTAAGTAATGGTGAAAGAAGCTGCTAGACCAACGAGTGTTGATATTATTTTTGATAAGAGTTCTTGTCGGGTAATAGTTCTACTAGCTTCGTGCAGTGGCCCCGGCATTGTCTGGCTTTGTTGTTCTTTCACAATGTCATCAAAAGTCAAACCAGATGTGTACTTCTGTACTATTCCTGAGAAATCACGTTTCAGTTCTTTGATCCAGGAAGTGTCCATGTTGGTTTCTACGAGAGCTGAAATGCGCCCGGAAACGGAATATGACTAAATTCATTATTATGCTTTGAAGTTTGTAATATGAAAATATGATACAGCAACAGAAACATTACATGTCCATAATCATTCTAAATTTGGAATGCCATTTTACGACTTAGTTACATTCAGAAATTATATATATAATTTCGGATCACGAGTTAAGTTTTGAGAGCTTGACTGTTTGTATTTCCAACACAGAAGAATAAAAATATGGCGGCAAAATTCTGAATTTCGAAATTGTTAGTTATGACATCGCAAGAACTGCCCGTGTTCCGATTTTATGACAGGAAGTCTAAGCGGTAAATAACTTTAAACCAAGCAATAGTTTATTGAAAGCAGGGAAGCAGTACCTGCTTGATCAATATTTACTGTTGTGACGATTTATCTTGCTTTGATCTCTCGTAGCGTTAATTAATGATTAACCTTGTCACGATAGTCGGCTACTATTATTCAGTTATTGGAAAGATTTCCGCCCGTAACCCCTGTATTTATTTCTAATCATTATATGCCTGAGAATATCTGCATATGTTTTTTTTTATAAACAGCCTATACCTAACCCTAAACCTAAAATCTAACCCCAAACCTTACCCTAAACCCCCGAAATAATCCTAATAAATAGAATACATTTCAAGTGGGGGTTACGGGCGGATCTCTTACCCAGTTATTTATACACGTCTACGAAATCACCGTCTCTACGAACCAGTCTGGACTACGAATCCACCGCGTCTACGAAATGGTTCAGCCTACGAAAACACCGTCTCCCGCCCTAAGATCCCTTTTCCGATCAAGCAATCAATCATTTGGGTTTGGTACCCCCTTTCGATGAAATTCCTTCCTTTATTACGATAGCATGATTACATATGACATGTACCTCAAATTGCTGTTACGTCGCCGAAAACAGTTGAAACTGGGATATTATGTAACATACACCTAGTCCTTTACAATATTAACTTCTCACTGTAAATGTTGCCACTTTAAAGGGGCACTGATCCAGAGCAATTTCTGTGGACTGGTTGTTGCTTTTGTTATTGTTTTTCTCGCATGAGTACCCGGATGATATCCCAGAATTCTTGATGGTTCGTGACCTCTGTGCGCCACCCGCATGCGCAATTGATAGTATAAGTATAGATTGATCAACAAAGAGAGAAATCTTTTTTACTCGATAATATTTGCATCTTCATTGTTTTGATAACAAATGAAAACAAGTTTAACCACCTGTCAGCGGGACAAAATGTTAGGACTGAAATATGACGAAGTCAATGTATGCTTATATATTTTGTCTTATAATCCTAATTAGTTTATTATCATATTTGTATGCATTTTAAAAATTTATACAATGCACATGATCTGCTTATACTTATAGTGAATTTATAACATGACTGTAATGTCTAGACATATTGCAAACTGGCAACATGAATCATTTCATACACACGCCCAAAGTGCGACCTAGTGTATGTTGTCTGTCTCATTACACTTCACAACGAAAAAAACTGATTCTGTGTAATGCTACAACAAATGAATAAAAACAAAATGCAAATATTAAAATTAAAACAGCAACAATGTCAGGCTATTATATTGTTCGAGGAATGTATCCATCAATATCACCATAAAGGAACGATATGCCATTCATTTGCAGCTGACAAAGAATCCTGTTCCATGTCATGTGTCTTTTAACAGTCTAATATGTGAAAAAGTGATATATCATTTCAGGTTTTTCACATTGGTGTATAGTCTCATTGGTCACCCAAGATAGCACACCTGGCAACTAATTGCATGATGTCCGCCATTCTTTAAAAAAGTTATTTTGTTAGCCAATAATGAACAATCAATCAATGTATTGGCGGTTAATCCTTTGAAAGAAAGGACGTTGTTTTTACAGAGCACCTTACGACAGGGTGTATTCAGTATAGATTAGTAAATCTACATACATAAAAACTACCTTTTGACAAATCCACTGTGCAAGATAAAAGCAATTAATCAATCAGCGTGTTATCGGTTAATCCTTTGATCAATGCTTGTTTCTGTAACTCAACTGATAATTTCTTTTGCTGCACTTCCATGCGCATATTACTTATCATGTAATACATTTGCCACATCAGACCTTAATTTGTAGTGTTGAGTGTTTACTCAGACACGAGAAATGCCAAATGGGAACCTTTGTCGGGTAATCTGAGTGGTATTACTGCTAATAATAACTGTTATAACTTGATTAACTGACCATCAAGTGAATGATGACAAATAACGTGTAGGTTTACCACCAAACACGGGTTACAGCAAGGGAGTAGTAATCGCTGTAATGCGTGCAATTTTGATTGCCTGAAAAAAAATTATTGGCCGACACTGTTTTGAGGATACGAACGGAACTTCATTGTTGCATAAGAAATACATATAAGCATTTGCTGTGTACTTTGTTAAAAACTGTATATACCTATTTACCTAAGTAAACTTTCAGATTTTTTTAGCAATTGAAATGTGGGGTTGTTTAGTTTGCGTATTCAAATACATCAAATGTGTGTTTTTAATATCATGGCATAGGTAATAAACATCATATTTTTACAGGACATGATTGAATATCAAGGTGAAAAACACTGAAATAGGATCAAATTGGATCAGTCACTATATCACCCAGGCATTAAAAAATCTGAAAACGTTACACTGCTGGGATACTTTATTACAATCAGACAAGAACTACCGGGGAAATTTTCAAATAACGGACATCAACCCTTCCTAATGTCCCACTGTTTAGGTTGAAGAAATTCTGCCAAGGTGGACAGTAGCCCAGTCCCCGTGTCCGTCAGGGTCGAGGGAGCATGTGCTGACCAGCCTGCAGCTTGGCTTCGTAATTAGACTTTTTGTGAGAAACATTAACATACATTTCTGTGCTCCGATTTGTGTTGAGGTACATCTGTGTGTACAGAAGGTACCTGGAGTACATTATTCTAGTATACAGGTTCTGATGACCCCTCAAACAATAACATTAGCATCTGCTACGGAATAAACTCTTTTGCCAAAAGTATTCTCCTCTTATTGATTTTTGGCCACACAACTGGACCGGATATTGCTCCAATAATCATCAACTGATTTTTGATATAAGGTGTCGATGGCGCGTGGCTTAACCCGATTATGTATAGGCCATATTACATAACCATACATGGACATGATACAAGAAAACATTTTCAAACAAAAGAAATTTCTCAATGTTCACATGTTTCTCTTCACTAATCCCTTTCTATGCTTCTGAATATAAATACAATCTTTTCATTCATTTTTGTTTCCTTAATGTAAGGGTTTCATTTTCTCTGTTGCTCCATGATCTGATAAATAATTTAAGGGACCCCCCCCCCCAAAAAAAAATATGTCCGGTAACCCGACCGACCCTATTGATGTTCAATAAACCAGCCTGATGCAGCATGCACTTCTTTTTGTCTTAATGTTTTCACCCAGTAACGTCTTTGTGATCATTGAAGTTACTCTGTTGATATGTCATGTACATTGTACTCTTAAGGATCATTATCCTCCTTCAGAAGAAGACGTGAACTGGAACAAACTGTTGAAAACAGAGTGAAAAGATTCAGAGATGAAAAGCTTCCACATACATTCAAGCACAGGTATACATCAGAACATATCGACACAGGTTATTTCTTGCCTGTTTTGCGAAAATATCCTAAAATCTTTATGTGTAATATGTATCAAAGATGAAGTAATACATTATACTCCTCACTACTGTCATCATATTAATAATATTTACAATACTTATCACTATTTATGTTTTGGTTTTGTATCCAGGGGTCCATCATGCCACATACTTCCATGTATGGATATGTGCTTGGGCTTGTGGCCTTTTACTGAAATATACAAATGATTTAGATATAAGTAAAACATCCGCATTCAATGATCTTTCAAATAGAAAAATAATAATCTTTCCATGTTGTCTTCATAGTTAACCTTCAATCGTTTGTTTGTTTCAGCATAACTGGACCAAGCACTGAGTGGAAAACGTTTTTTCGACAACAAGATGCCTTTGACTACACACGGAGTAAAATTGATGTATGTTTATACAGTTACTTCTTCTTCCCATAAACCACCTTCATGTCCACTGGAGAAATTTGGTAAAAATGTAGCAGGACTTCTTTCAGAATTGTATCCTTGTGTTTGTCTTCCACAATCACCTCCAATGTTTCTATTACAGGATGACCTCCATGTATATGGGTTCCAAGATGACCTCCATGTATTTGTATTACAGGGTGACCTCCAATGTTTCTATTACAGGATGACCTCCACATGTTTGAGTTCCAAGATGACCTCCATGTATTTGTATTACAGGATGACCTCCACATGTTTGGGTTCCAAGATGACCTCCATGTATTTGTATTACAGGGTGACCTCCAATGTTTCTATTACAGGATGACCTCCACATGTTTGGGTTCCAAGATGACCTCCAATGTTTCTATTACAGGATGACCTCCACATGTTTGGGTTCCAAGATGACCTCCATGTATTTGAGTTGCAGGGTGACCTCCAATGTTTCTATTACAGGATGACCTCCACATGTTTGGGTTCCAAGATGACCTCCATGTATTTGTATTACAGGGTGACCTCCAATGTTTCTATTACAGGATGACCTCCACATGTTTGGGTTCCAAGATGACCTCCATGTATTTGTATTACAGGATGACCTCCACATGTTTGTGTTCCAAGATGACCTCCATGTATTTGTATTACAGGGTGACCTCCAATGTTTCTATTACAGGATGACCTCCACATGTTTGGGTTCCAAGATGACCTCCATGTATTTGTATTACAGGGTGACCTCCATATGTTTCTGTTCTGGTGTGTTTCAGCACCCTTGTGTTTTGCTGTTTTTGACAATGTTTCATTTCACCCAATCTCAGGTGAAGCAGTTATTGCATCAGTTGCTTCCCTGCAATGTTCCAACATGTCGTTTAAAGTGCCCATTAAGCACACAAAAGTTGCATATAGTAGTATAAATGACCTTCACTTTAGGTTTTAAATTTATATATGACTATCAAATTTTAGGGTGTTCCCATACTTTTTGTTTGTAGTATATTTGTGTTTCAGGATGACCTCCATTGTGTTTGTTTTCCAGGATCACCTCTGTTCATCCTTCACGATGACCTCCATTGTGTTTGTTTTCCAGGATCACCTCTGTTCATCTTCCACAATGACCTCCATTGTGTTTGTTTTCCAGGATCAGCTCTGTTCATCTTCCACAATGACCTCCATTGTGTTTGTTTTCCAGGATCAGCTCTGTTCATCTTCCACAATGACCTCCATTGTGTTTGTTTTCCAGGATCACCTCCATGTGTTTGCATATGAGAGTGACACCCTTGGGGGTGAGTCAGGACAGAGGATGTACCTAGTGGCCAGCTACCCTACATTCTGGCATTACTACAGGTATATATATATATATACATGTACACAGTTGATGGCGGGTCATACTTAGCATGAGACCGTGGGAGCTGCACAGAGAAACATGTGACACATTGAGAACCTCACCCTTGTGTCTTCTATGACTGAACATGAAACGAGTCATTAACAGTTACAAGTGTCTCAGGTTTGCCAGGGATATTTTAACACTTATCAGTGAGTCAGTGGGTGAGATTCTATCTTTCATCCAGTAATAACCTGTGCCTAGAGTGTACATGGTGGGCATGGTGGGCGAGCTGGCTAAGGCGCCAGGCTAGTGATCCAGCGAACATGAGGTGCCGGGATCGAGCCCACCTGTGACCAGGTGTAAAAAACCTTGGAGTAAACTTTGTGTGCAGACACTATCAGTGTTGTCACAACTCCTAGTGTACAGTATACAACCCTGTGCACTTAAAAGAACTACGAATCCATTGCTATATGACTAGATGGTGGCCACAGGAATACGTGCAAACACCTAGTTGCGCGTGCAGCAACGTGCAGTAAACTTGAATAAAGTACTGTGACTATGTGTCCTAGTCCACCCAGCTGTAAATGGGTACCTCGTAAGAATGAGAAAGCCGCAATAACTTGGTGCGGCTAGTGGCTGCAAGAGTTGTATACTCCCCAGGGAGTTGAGATTGATAATGCGATGTGCCGTTGAGACTGACATCCAATGATCGAGGAAAAAAAATACCAGCACCTTGAGCATGCACTAGTGCGTGGATATGTGCGCTATATAAGTATCCAATAATAATAAAATAAAATGTACAACTTCAGAGCCAACAAGATTAGTGATGTCATTTGATTGTGATGTCATGGTAAGCCATGATTTTGCAATGGTCTGTGAAGTTACATTTAATTCTGAAAGTTCATAGACTGTTTTTGAATAACTGTTCAACAAAACAATAATGGTTCATTTGAATATACTCATAATGCAGTCTATGATAAAGTCTAAATTGAGTCAATTGTGATCAAAACCTTTAGCAAGTATTTTCGGGACATTTTTGCTTCAAATACCTTTACATTTTAATCATATTGAACAATAGATAAAAATACTCTCCTGAATATTGAACAGGCTTCTTTCTAATCACAACTAGTGAACTATTTCCTTTTTCATATGGAGTTTAATATTTTACATATGTAAATACTGTTTCAGTCAACTGAAGGATTGTGAGAGACACCACTATGAAGTAATACCTGAAGGTATGTATCATTGATGTGGTTGTTTGGTAGATGAGAGTGAGTGCATCACACAATATAACATTGAAGTCAACCTTCTTTATGACCTGGAGTATTACCACCCATGACTTGTCAGACAAGAGAAGTTGTAGCCATATCACAAGGGGGAATATGGTTTTGCAGTGTACCCTAAGCCGTTGTTGGCATTGTTGAATCGCCCCTCCTCGATCATATCAAAGTGTCTACAATATGGTGGAGATTTCAAGTATCAGTTGTGACTAAGCCTAATACTCTCCAAAGTTAATGTCTTGTATAGGTCACTGCTTTGAGTTCTGATATCCATGTAGAAATGACTGGGTACACAGATTTTTGTAAAACCTGCATTGTTAAGTGTTTTACATGTAAGGTAAGATAAGATTAAGAGAAGTTCAATTTGTAAAGAAGCTAACAATTGGACTGTCTATCAGTATATGATACATCCCAGGGAGTTGAGATTGATAACACGATGTGCCGTTGAGATTAACATCCAATGATCGAGGGGAAAAGTACCAGCGCGCCTTGAGCATGCACTAGTTGTGTGGATATGTGCGCTATATAAATATCCTATTAATTAATTAATTAATCTTGAAATTCTAAGTGTACAGTGTGGATGTGAACATTTGCTGTTTTGCTAGTGAGTTCAAATTTAGAGCTACTCACATTAATTTCATGGTGTCTATTTGGCTTATGTTCACTCATTAAATTGCTGACATTATAATTTGGGACTGTATGATGCAGGGGAAAGAAGATCCAATGTCCAGTGCTTTTGATAAGATGAGAAATATGTCTGTATTGCTATTTTTACTGGAGATGAGTACTGATTGAGTTGAACAGTTTGCATGAAACATTGCTCCTCTAACTCAGGATTAGGAGTATTTCTAATCAAAATGTCAGTACATGTGCAATATTCTTGCATTATAATTCTTCTTGAAGCCATAATATGGTATGGGTATGTTGAATGTAGCTGAATGAAAGGCTACATATTTGAAGCTTGACTTTACTACTCTTCCACTGAGGTAGTTTATTTCTCAGATGACGAGTTTTAAAAACAAACACCAACCTGTTGTTGCAGGTGGAGTGTGTAAGCTGTATTTCGATCTGGAGTTTGCCAAAGAAGTAAATCCCAACAGCAATGGATTACAGATGGTTGATACATTTATAAAGGTAATAAAACAATTAGTCCATCTCATTTAAGTGTATGTTGAACTTAATGTATATTGTTACCTCACTACTCTCCATTAAGATGGGAATGATATCATATCTAATGCACCTCTTAGATAAAGCACTTGTGAATCAGTATTTGACTTAATACCATGAAAAGGACCTTTTCAGTGTTGCAGTAATCATGAAATTTTGAAAGAAAACACTTACAGTTAGGTATTGTCGGATGTGATGTCGCACCCGTGAAGATCCGGGGTAGAATAGGTCTTCAGCAACCCATGCTTGCCACAAAAGGCAACTATGCTTGTCGTAAGAGGCGACTAACGGGATCAGGTGGTCAGACTCGCTGACTTGGTTGACACATGTCATCGTATCCCAAATGTGCAGTATGATGCTCATGCTGTTGATCACTGGATTGTCTGGTCCAGACTCGATTATTTACAGACCGCCTCCACATAGCTGGAATATTGCTGAGTGTGGCATAAAACTAAACTCACTCACTCACTCACTCACTCACTCACCCCTAAGTGATCTCCCATTACAGTGGAAACTATCAAAACTGGCAGCTGTCCAATCCGGCAAGTTGTCAACACTGGCATAAAATCTCAGTCCTGTCCGTGGCTAATACATTTATCATTTAAAAGTTCTGCAATCTGGCAACTGTCAATCAGCGCTCTCTAATCTGACTCGTGGCAAGGAGTTGGCCGGATGTGTATTGTCACCAGTTAATCCAGTTAAGTGAATATGAGCATGCAACCTGGCATGCAACCTGGCATGTTGTCTAAACCGGATCAATTCGTCAGTCCTGACTAGTGCTGGTTTAGACAGCTTCCACTGTAGTCTGTAGATCCTCCTGGCAATAACATGTTCTCCTCTAACCTCAGTACGTGTGTACCTGGATGCAGCATCACTACAAGGTGTGCTGCGAGCGGCAGGATGTGCTTGACCTGGATGCAAGGTAGGTGTTCTGTTTTGGCAATGACTCAAATTGCTGATAATTCATGATGAGATTTTCTTTAAATTATAACATTATGCTACATGAGACACTATTTTGGAGGAGAATTATTTTAACATCCAAACAAAGCTGATTATTTGATTTATCATTTCTTGTATCATCAGCTGTGTTTGTTACAACCATATGTGAAAAATATTCATAATGTGCATGTGATAAGAATGATTTATTGATGATACTTATTTATACAGAATTAATGATGTCCATCAATAAATTTCACCTTTCTTTCACCATGGGATCGGGTGGTTAGACTCTCTGACTTGGTCGACTTGTCATCGGTTCCCAATTGCGTAGATCAATGCTCATGCTGTTGATCACTGGATTGCCTGGTCCAGACTTGATTATTTACAGACTGCCGCCATATAGCTGGAATATTGCTGAGTGCGGCATAAAACTAAACTCACTCACTCACTCACTCACTCAGTTCAGTGATAGTGTTCGTAAAGAAAGTGATAGAATCATTCAAATACAAAGAACAGTTCCTTTGCTCTGTCAGTTTTTACCAGACATTTATCCATGGTGCTGACAGTCATCTGATTTGTTAATCAGCACAGAGAAGAAGTTCAGTCGGCACCTGATCTTTCAGCTGCAAGATGTGGTCTTCAAGGACAATGTTACTGCAGGTGAGTCTTGTCTTTCAGTTTTGCTCCCAGCAATGTACATGTAGGTCCCATACACAAAAGAGCATCGGCTTCCCATGTGTCAGCTTGCAGTAGTCTGAACTAAAGCTAGAGCTATAATGCTAAAGTAAGGCCAGAAATGCTTGGAAAATGCTTTTTGATAATGGTTGATATTTCAGATTGAAAACTCATATATAATCATTCATACCACCTCGACCTAACATGGCATATGAGTAATCACGATGTACCATTCCCTAATCATAACGATTACTCATAAAATATTGAAAAACCTTAGAAAAAATCCCATGGTAGTAACACTTCTAAGAAACAAACTATACTGTGACCCACCTGGCAGGCAGACAGGGTGACAGCGTTATGTAACGCACGGGCAGTACATGTCAGGGACCGTCTCAAAATATCAAGTGTCAGTATCACTGCTGGTGGAGGACTCTAGCGGAATTACAACAGGACATTTATTGTATCTTTGATCTCATCTTGTATTTTAGCACACCTCTGTGGGATTTTGCGTTCATACAGTTTATAAACTGCACCCCGTATGACACCCTTATCAAAGCTATCCAGTTTATGTTTCCTATCTGGTTTTGATTTTGACACAACCCCTGAGGTAACTGATTTGTGTACAACTTTGTAAACCTGACTATATGTCAAATTAAGGGCTTTACACATTCTATAGTAAACCCTGTCATAGCTGACGAGAGGTTTCCCCCTTTGTTTCTCCAGTATGAAATACTGGTATAAATTTGAAATTAATTGTTCTGCAGAGATATCAAGTCGCATGTTGCCAGTTCAATGCTCATACACGAAGTGAAACTTCTATGGGTGAACAAGATTATCAATCCAATTTGAATTAAGGCTTTTTAACGTAATTATTTTGAATATAGCTACTACAAGAGTTCCATCTTTTGCACATATAGATGTTAAAAAAACAAACAACTTTTTACAATCGTTTATGTGATTTAATTAGTTGAGGCTATATGAATAATTATAGTCTGTATTTCAAAACTACAGTTTGTACTTAGAATATTTAAGAATGTTGTTGAAACGTCAAAATTTCCTCCTGTGAAGTCACCCCTCAAATGCATTTTTTCATCTGAGCTTTCATATCCAACTAGGTAGAGTCATATATGTATCATATATGTGCTTTTATCTTGTGTCAAATTCATCATATTGATATTGAAGCCAAAAAGCATTTTCCAAGCATTTCTGGCCTTACTTTAGGCCGCTAGCTCACTGAGATACCATTGCATGATGAGGGCTTTTTCCCCATTAGAACTCAAATTTCAAATTATAAAAAAATCGTTTCATATAATTTATTCTGTCCCCGAGGGACCTTATCATACCAGGTTGTATATCGTTAAAAAAAGTTAAACAAACATAATCTTTGTTTGTAATATTTTCGTAATAGTGTCTCGTCGTTGTCATTTACAGGGTACTCATCACATCTTTAACGGCCTATCCATATATATTTTGACACTGATTTTGAGGCAAGCGGCATCCACAGGGGAGGCGGTCATAACGGTCTTCAGTTAAACAGTATATATTTGTTTGATATTTTCTCGTCATTTTGTCCATCATCTTTAACAAACTACTTGACAGAGTGCATCAGCCAACAGGGGAGTCAACTCTGTTGAAACGAAACCCTCAGATCATCAAGCCTGTCAGTGCATCACCGAAGTCAGCCTAAGAAACCGCAGATGCTTCAGTGAGTGAGGAGAAGCAAGAAGCAGCCATGTCAGCGGAGGTTAAGAGTGAAGACAGAAATGATTCTGGCTTTGAAAGTCCCCTGAAGGGTATGGAAGGTAGTGCCAATTTCTCTGAGAAGTCGGAAGGGGACATTTCTAACATTGGCGTCAGTGATGACAGCTGTGCGATGTTGGATCAGTTTAGTGATGAGGAGCTGAGGTCACTGGTGGTGATGTCCAAGGACCTGAAACCTGTGCTGTTTTGTGATATGGGTAGGTATGGTAGATATTGTAGGAGAAAATGTTTCATTTTTGTAAATTGAATTAATATTGCCAGGATCAGCCTAGTAATGTATCACTTTGTGCTATTGCAATAAATAGTTATGTGAAGTACATTATAATGAAGTGAGTGAGTACAATTTTACGCCACTTTTAGCAATATTCCAGCAATATCATGGAGGGGGACCAGAAATGGGCTTCACACACTGTACCCATGTAGGGAAGCGAACCTGGGTCTTCAGCATGACGAGCAAACGCTTTACCACTAGGCTACCCCACTGTCTCCCGGGGAAGATGAAACCCCTAGAATTGTATAACGAAGAGTTATAATGAACACAGCAATACAGCAATACAGTAGTGTATTGTGATGTGAGGCGATATAATACACCAACTCATAATCCCTACATCGCAATACATACAATACATTACAAGCAATCCAGGTGTGAAAAATGTGAATAATAATAGAAACTGTACATGAACCAGATTATGCAGATTTCACGGTTTTTCACCATAAATGGGGTTGGCTGGGTAAACCGGAGCAGAATCTCGAAACAACGCCCAAACCATTATGTTTCCATTCTGCAATGTCCTATCTTTGAAACTGTACTTGAAATAGATTATAAATTTCCTAGTTTTCCTGGTTTGATTGGTAATAGCAGAATCACTGCAATGCCCAAAGAAACTTGTGAAATATATACATGTCTATCTTTGACCTTGAAAAATTACTGTATGAGGGTTGGGATCACCTGCAAAGGGAAAGAACTTGTGAAATATATTGCATCATGAGTATATTATGTATCGATGATAAATGGATTATTGCATCTGATCTGCTGTACATCATTATACCACTTTATGCTAATATTAATCTAATTACAGAATATTCCTTTGTTTTGTGTTTACACACAGGAATTTTAGATTGCTGAAGTAGAGGAAAAGTGACCCATGACGTTTATGCCAATATCTTAATGAGAAAACTGGTATCACACATATGTGTGAGTATCACACATATGTGTGAGATCGATTTCTAATCCCGTGATTGGCTACTCCATGGTGATGACCTAGGGTCAGGTTATGACGGACTACTTTCCTGATTAAAATTCATTGATAAGTTACTCGTGCTTCAATCGAACAGAAACCTGTTACTCTTGCAAAAAATACCCTTTACACCTACCTGTTATTTTCGCGATTGCAACATAAATAGGTATCTATACAATGAGTCACAAGTAGAATAAATATAACACGAATCTATTTATTTTCTAATTCTTTTTATTAAAACTTTTGATTTCTAGTCATGAATTCAAAATGGCTCGAACAATCAGTGATACCTGTGTAAACAATTATGTGAAAATCACCGTTAGAGATAAAGCCCGGGATTCCCTTCGAATATTCAAAATGTACAACATTGGTACTTTTACTGGAGAGATGCGACAAGTGTCATGTGTCGTCTTGCAAAAATACCTGACACGATAACGTCAGTGCCTGTCCATTGTGAGATCGATTTGCCTCGTTGTTTCTTTGATGCATTGATGAAGATGACATTTTTCACTGATAAACATGATGAAGACCCACTTCCAGCTCCGAGATACTATGTGATTCCAATGTTATCAAATTCACTCATGACAATCAGAACCAAAACACACTCGTTGAAACAATGTACAACATGGAACGTTTTGCAAGGCTTCATGAGTGCAAATGGCGGCACACGTCTTTTCTATTCAATCGAACATGTACAGGAACGGTTGATCTACACAAAAGTCATTGCTCAAGACATTCCTCCGACGCATGATAATGAAAAGTTTATGTCTTGATAACATACAGGATGTAATCAACTCACATTTCATACTGAAAACTCCGTAAATTCCATTACATTCCAAGTGGCAGTTTCTGGCTCGGGAAAACGAGAAGGCTGTGGCGAAGAAGAGTAGTCCCCCCATTGATAGTGAACGTAACTTCAGCAATGTCACATTCAAGCACACTGGGTGCACCTAATTACACACACTCAAACGTTTTGGCTCCAGTCGATGGAAGAACATTGAACGTAAACTAGTATACACAAGTACAGATCCCCAATGTGCAGAGATAATCAAAACAATCTTTCGATGACGACAACCACCAAGCGATAACGATGACGTCACACGCTCAAATATTTTACGCTTGCAAGAATTAAAATCATCCACATTTGCATGGTAACATCATCGTTTTAGAGGGTTTAATTAATTTTCTGTGATCTTATCTAGTTATCATTATCACTATTGCCTTGATGTTGCGAAGAGGTGGCAGAAACTTTTTTGTGGAGGGTCACCATGGGGATGAGTAGTGATTAGGAAACCAAGTGACGTCACTCATTCATAAACGTTGTGTTGTGTATTATTGCGCACCTACGATGAGAAAAAATGAAATTTGAATCTATTCGACCATAAAATGGTGCGATTTTATGGTGTGTAAGAAACAGATTAACATCTTGTGTGATAGGGCCAGGGATCAAAACACTGACCTTTCACTCTCCACACAGGTGCTTGTCTGAACAAAACATTGGTTGCTTGCTTTGAAACCCCAGAATCATTAACTTTCCTATTATTACATGGACCCCCCTGAGTTTCGGGGTTGACTTCCCACACTTGGAAGTAAGTAGCTTGCAGCCATGATTTCAGTATACTGGCATACATGTTTCAGATATACACCAAGACTGCGTGTCTTGACGTTTGGCTCTGACAGCCGTGGTGGCAGATTCAGACATCAGGCAGTAAAACACAGATCTCATGCTGAGACAGGCAAGTAGTCCACGTGGCACAGTGTGTATTGTGTAGCTGTAGCAAATCCTAGACTTCTGGCAGGGATTTATCTTGGATTCAAAACTAACTGACTTTGCCAGGCAGATTGGTAAATAGTCATGCACTTTTATAATGCTCTTATTTTCGTAACTTCTTATGAATTTGAATTTTTAAATTCATATTGGGAATTTTAACTACATTTGCTGCTTGGCCTCTGAGAAGGTTTAGATAGATCCCTGTCCTGGTTGTCCAGTTGGCCGGTGTTGAAGTGTCAGAGGTGTTTGGGTTATCCTTTTGGAGAATGTCTTGACTGTCGTATGGTCATTTAAAGGTCTGATTTGGATGAAGCTTTCAATTATGAGCATGCAATTGAATACAATGGATGAAGCGATTGTTTTCTTACAATGCCAACTGACTATTTCTGCTATGCCTGACAGAAACACTGGGCGGCTACACAACGTCTCCATACCCCGAGCTGGATGACTTCATCAGCAGGACAGTGGGGGATGGTGGAAAGAATGGCTTCATCCGACACTGGACATACTTCCCCCAGGGGGAGTTGTTGCTGTACGACATCGCACGACATCGCTGGTGTGCCAACATACAGAGACAGCATCGCAGCAACAACATCATGTGCGTTTCTCTATCTTTACATTTTAGGACTTTTTGCTGTCAGTGATTTTTTTCTTTTATGTCAGTTTTGACATGGGTTTATGCCAGCTTTTGTAATAATGGAGATTAATAATGGAGTTGGAAAAGTTCAAGACATCAAAATCCGACATTCAGTACGGTCACCTTGCAGACGTTTATTGTTTATATATATCTCTTCACTAAATCAAAGTGCCCTAAGGGCTCTACACATGTACCTCTTACTTTTGTTTTTATTTTGATAGAATGTAAGGGTTTTTTTCTGTACTTACCCAGGCTGTGCGTGGACATGAAGAAAGGAGTGTATTATCAAAAGTGCCATGACCCAGACTGCAAGGCTGAAAACTTCAAGTCTGAAGGTAACATCAGCTGCTTGGTGTATATGTATATGTAGTAATATGCTTCTTTTTGCCACTATATCTGCTTCTTGTGTGACCTCCAAATCTGCTTCTTGTGTGACCTCCAAATCTGCTTCTTGTGTGACCTCCAAATCTGCTTCTCATGTGACCTCCAAATCTGCTTCTTGTGTGACCTCCAAATCTGCTTCTTGTGTGACCTCCAAATCTGCTTCTTGTGTGACCTCTTCATCTGCTTCTCATGTGACCTCCAAATCTGCTTCTTGTGTGACCTCCAAATCTGCTTCTTGTGTGACCTCCAAATCTGCTTCTTGTGTGACCTCCAAATCTGCTTCTCATGTGACCTCCAAATCTGCTTCTTGTGTGACCTCCAAATCTGCTTCTTCATGTGACCTCCAAATCTGCATCTTGTGTGACCTCCAAATCTGCTTCTTCTGTGACCTCCAAGAATAATTCAAATCTGCTTCTTGTGTGTGACCTCTTCACCTCTACTTGTGTGACCTTAAATCTGCTTCTTCTGAGACCTCAAAGAATAAATTCTTGTGTGACCTCTTCATCTACTTGTGTGACCTTAAATCTGCTTCCTCTGAGACCTCCAAGACTACTTCTTATGTGACCTCAAATCTGGTTCTAATGTGACATCTCACTAACAGGCAGGTTGTTACAGGCAATTGGTTTAAAGGTTTAAAAAACAGACATACAGTACATAGTTAAAGTCTTAATTACTCATCTCTGATATTGTCTTCTGTTCACTATATTTTAAGTTACAGATCAGTCACCTGAACACATTTTGTCTATATGATAGATATTATTGAGAATTACAAATTTATCCCACTGATGGATCAACTATACAAACACATTATCAGCCTTAAACTGAAGGTGTGCCATTGTGTGGAAAGTTACAGGAATATCTCAGCAATTTGAAAACCAAGGCAACTGTTATTTTTCCAGATCTGCCCCTCCCAGCAGAAGTCCTTCCTGGCCACTACTTCAACACTAGTAGTGATGGTCTCGATTCCGACTTTGACGACGATGACATTGTGCGGGCAGCGGAGGAGGCGGAGAAGACGTACCAGTCGAAGCAGGAGGAGAGTGATGACGACCTCCTCAACGCCACGGTGGAGATGGAGAGGAATATGTCAGAACACATGAAGTCCTGAAAATGGAAGGAGATTTTACCATGGCCATGGTACCATGTGTCTTACTGATTGACCTTGTGATCTCTTTTTCACATTTTAATAATATATATGCTGAATTATATTTGTATGAACACTTTAAAAGCGGTATATATTTCAGATTATAGTCTTGAATTAATAATGTGTTCATATTTATTTAAGCTTCTGAAGTATTTTATTCATGTTATTGATCAATATCCATCTTAAGCAGTACATCATGTATAACGTGACTGTGAATGTTTGTATACTACAGATCATGAAATTATTCTGACATTAATATGTAGAACATTATTTTTAAGCACAAACCAAATCTTTCATGAAATATGATTTGCTGTACATAGCATAGATCATGTAGGTCAAGATGCCATGTGCATGTCTTCGGGGTGATGAGTCAACACTTTAACCACTAGGCTACCCGACCACCCCATCCATGGAACCATGAAGGTCCATTGTTCCTGGTCACATCCTTTACACCTGTTGATTTAAGCTGTATAACCTATTATAAGTGCTAATGTTGCAGTCAATTCTATATTTATATTAAATGTTCTGTTTGTGTGACATAAATAAAAACTAAATAAAAAATTCCATCTCCATCTTCCTTTTATTATATTTTGTATACAAATTTTGAATTGGGTTGTAGCATGAATGTCTTGTGATATTAACCATTACAGGTGAATGGTGGACTGTGCTATGAAACAATCATATGTTTACTAGTATTTTGGACAGTGTTATCAATATGACAAACCTATCTGACATACTGGCTGTCACAATCCCATAAATATCATACAGCACTGTGGTTACCTCGTAGGAACACACTGTAATCTCCTTGCATTGAAGCGTTGGCTCCTCACACAAGACCCCCGGTTCGATTTCCATCATGGGTAAAATGTGTGAAGACCAATTCTGGTGTTCAATGTGTGAAGACCAATTCTGGTGTTCAATGTGTGAAGACCAATTCTGGTGTTCCCGGTCGTGATATTGCTGGAATATTGCTAAAAGCAGCGTGAAACTAAATTCACTCTCACTCACATTGATTCAGTGTCGGCTTTGTGCAATAAACTATGACTAGTGTTCCCATCAGTTCAGATGTGGGCTTCTGACGCATGGATGACAATGTAGACAAACATGTCTGCAAGAGATATGGCACTAGAGGTAAATGACACTACTTAACCGAGTGACATTATATAATAAACATCATGTATTGTAATGATGTGGTAATGTGAAAAACGGATTATCACCATTGTCTGTTTCCATATGCTCCCCAGGGATTGAAAAATACGATGTGCTATTGAGATTGACATGATGGAGGGAAAAACAAAGAGCCTTTGAGCAGCTGAGATGAGCTGGATATTGGTGCTGTACAAATATATGGTATTTCGGATAATGACACCTACTCAGTGTATTATCTCTATGTATAGTGCAAGTTCATTTACAAGGTATGCGGTTCCGTAGATATCTGGGTTCGAACTGGCCCTCCGCAACCCATGCATGTGAGAGCCGACTGACGGGATCGGGTGGCCAGGCTCCTTGACTTGATTGATGTATGTCATGATATCACTCACTGGGTTGTCTGGCCCAGACTTGATTACTTACAGACCACACTCACATAGCTGAAATATTGTTCAATGCAGCTAACAAACAAACCATGGTACGGAGAGTGGCGGCAATGGTAGCTCACTTATTTTAGGCGCCTCAGTTAGTCCCTTGGCCAAAAAACCCTGTAATTGTGGGTTGGAAACCCTGTTCATCACCTTGAGCGAAATGCACAATATGTCGGAAAGCGCTCAATAAATCTCCAAATCATCGTCATCATCACCTGTTCATCCCCAAATAGTCTCACAGTCCCTGAACAACTCTATTTTCATTACTGCCATCCCTATCTGCAATGCTAAAGCCCTAAATGATGCTACTCAAGATTTCCGAATCTCCCATCTCACTGCAGGGGCTATTTTTCAATTATAATGGGATTTTTTGTTACTATCAAAATTATTTATATTCAGAAACGAAAATATTGGTCTTATCCCCAATAAGATTCAAGGGTAGTCAACACCATACTGTATTCGTGGGTTATATCTAAACTATAATGATCTGAGACCTACCTCCGTCTCCACCGACGTTATGCTGACACGTGATTAAACTGAGATCCTGTACCAAACGGCGTTTATCCATACCACTCTCACTCCAGAAGGGCGGTAGGGTAGCTTAGTGGTAATGGTGCGGTCGAAGTCAAATCGAATCAGGTCTACCAAGTTTTTGAACATTTTTTGACATGTCAAAAATTTTCCTCGACCTTCGGTCCGAGATGGGGTCAAGACCAGGTCGAAAAAAGGTCGACATTAGGTCGAGTTGAAGGTCGAGCTGGCCTGACATGCCGATCTGTGTTCGTCTTAGAGTCGTTCTGTACTCGGCCTCAACTTGGCCTCGACTCGGCCTTGAGTCTACCTACTCAAACTGGACTCAACATGGACTCAACCTGGAGTCGGCCGATTCGACCTGAAGTCAACCTATCTCGACCTCAACTCGACCCTAATCGAGTCCGCGCCGACCACATAAATGGTCGCCATCTTCCCAGTTGCTTCATAAAAGCCAAACGGCAGCCAGTGGTAGCACAACATCTCCACACCAACCTGCTGCCACCCAGAGATCCACCCTGAGCACACCACCCTCTCGAACATGCCGCAAAGCAGCGGAACAGGCTGGTATCTTCCCTAGCTTTGACTCCAGTGCTGCAGCTGGTATATCTCTGTACCTGCCAAGCGGTCTCTTGGACACTACACACACCTCAGAGGATCAGTCACATGTTCAGGACTCTCAGCAAGGACAGTGAAACTAGTAGAACTTGATACTCATATATTGTCATGAGCACTTTATACTGATGTGAAATGTTACCTTCAGATTATTTAAATCAGTTTCCAATAAAAGATTTAAAAGCTTTTTTTATCTGATATTTTTTTGTATTGCTAAGATATACATCACTGAGATATACATGACGGAACTAGAAGACAAGGGCCTGCTGACATCAACCATCGCACTAATATGCTGGTACAGAAAAGTAGACGACACCTTTGTAGTTCTCAACCCCAACGACAACCCTGAACACCGCCTCAACCACCTGAATTTCCAACATCCCCGTATGCAGTTTACAATGGAAGAAGAATCTAACAACAAGCTCCCTTTCCTCGACGTCCTATTAAAGAAAGAAGACAAGATCTCCACTACTGTCTACAGGAAACTTACCCATACCGACCAATACCTTCACTTTACCTCCAACCACCCTCTACAGGTTAAGAAAGGCATCATATCCACTCTCACCCGAAGAGCCAAGAACATCTGCTCGACAACAGAAACCCTAGAAACCGAACTAAACCACCTCCGCCATGTCTTCGTCCATTATAGCCAGTACCCCCAGAAGTTAGTCAACAATGTCATCACAACCACCCTCAACCCAAGAGATAAACCACCCCGCCGGCAATCAGCACCCTTTGTAATAAGTATCCCGTATGTCCCAGCAGTCAGCCACCAGATAAGACGACTCCTTCAGCAGCAAGCAGGCATAGACGTTCTGTTCCAGAAAGGCAAGTCCATCCACAACCTCCTCTAAGCCACAGGTAAACCACCGTCAGCAACAAAAGATGACCCCTCGGGAATAGTCTGCCAGATTCGTTGTGAATGTGGAGACTTCTATATTGGTGAAACATCCCGCCCGCTCCCACTACGAATCAAAGAACATAAAGCGTCAGTCCAGAAAAACGACTCCAAATCCGCCATTGCCGACCACACCAAAGCCAACCCTGACCATGCCATCCTATGGAACAACATCGATACCCTGGAAATCAACGAATTAGGAAACTCCTTGAAGCCATAAACATCCAACGCCAGAACCCCACCATGAATCGTGATCAAGGATATTTCATCTCCTCAGCCTATCACCACCTAATCAAAGACCACCACCAGTAATCCTTCCATACCTCCCCTGTCCATCTGGCTTCCACGCTCCCCTTTGTGCTTGCAATCACAACTAGTGTACTTCAACCTACTTACTTATCATGATCCCATTGTACGTCAAACTCATCAATTGTATAAACTCAACTCTAATCACAATCAATCACTCTGTACATCAACCTCCTCTGCTCAAATCACTTATCAAATATCCAATGTACATCAACCTTGTTAATTTTATATACTCACTATGCAGCTATGTATATATTCTCCTTGTTTCAAATTGTTGTATCACTTGCTTGATAACGGTGTTAGTACCTACACCGAAACGTCGCACTCATTGCAAAAAAGAAGTTGACTATCCATAGAACTTAGTTTCCCTTCATCTTCACAACTTCTAAAATGCCTCTCAAAGAACATTGCTAAGTGTAAATGTAAATACATCTTGTACGATTGTAATAAAGTTTGTTTTGTTCATCATGTATATAGTTAGTTTTCATTGTTTTTTTTTTTTCGCATTTACCAATTGTAAATAGTGTAAATAAAAAATCAACAAGAGTTCCTTTGTAAATGAAGTAGTCCTAAATAATAGAGTACACTTTAAAGTCATTTGGATATCATCTTCTCTTGGCAATGAACAGCTCCTGGGCCCATGAAGTAGTCCTTTAAATAGTTTCTTTGGATGGCGCCTTCTAGTGGGGTAACGTTTCTCGTACCCCGGTTATCGCCATCAAGCAGCTGTGTGCAGGAGCGCCACTCGCCTGGGGTGAGTGAACAGTCCTCATTCCCCTGGTCTGTGATGTTCATCTGACTGTTCCGGTTCCTCGTTCTCAGCATGTTGTGTAAAGTGACGCAGGCCAGAGTTATCTGTTCAGCTCTGTCTGCAGTGCTGTTTAGGGAGCCTAGGATGATCTGAAACCTCATAGCCAGAACCCCGAAGGTATTCTCCACCACTCGTCTGGCCCGAGACAGTCTGCAAAAGTTCCAAATTAAACATTTTTAAGTCAAATGCATTCAAAATTCAAAACCTTTCATATGATATTGTATGCACCCAAAGATACTAAGTTATAATTTGAGTAAGGTATTTGTGGAAAAGAATAATTACCTGCAGTTGAAGATCTGCTGATCGGGGTCCATCTGACGCATAGAAAAGGACTTCATCATCCAGGGGCGGAGTGGAAAGGCATCGTCGCCGATGATGAAGTATGGCACACCATACTGGGAATACAAGGTCATCGCCCTCCATCCGATCTCGTGAATGGTTGAAGACCATCAGCGTCTGATGCTGATCCCTTGGCCCCGACGTTGACCCACGGGAACTTGTAGTCGGCATCCGCGAGTGCCAGCAAGACGATAGAGAAGAAGTTATTGTAGTAGTAGAAGAGGGACCCGCTTTTGGGAGGCTTTTTCATGCGTATGTGCTTGCCATCAAACGCACCGGTGCAATATGGAAATTGCCACCTTTCCTTGAAAGCACGGGCTACAGTATTCCATCTGCTCTGATCCCACTCATCTGCCAGATGCTCAGCTTTGAAGGCGTCAAGGATGGGATTGATGTGCTTACGGCTGAGGCTTTAACTTTGGAGGAGGGTTGGCATTCTCCAGGTCATCCACCAGTTCAAGCAGGTGCCAGGCTATCTGCACTCAAATTGTAAGCAGTCTTCGCTTCTCGGGGCTCACCAGGTTTACGTCAAGGTTCCTGATGGTGATGTTACTACTTTGCAGTCCTCTAATTGAATGGGTACCTAGTGAAAATGCACCCTGTAATTTTTACAGTTTGGAAACCAAGGGTCTACTCGGCTAAAAAATGGAATTTCCGTCGAGAACCAGTCGCTCCGGTTGAACACAGGTCGCGAAGAGGTCGGGCCGGTCGACTTAGGACAAAATTAATTCGAAATTAGGTCGATAGACAGGTCTAGCTGGTCGAGTATAGGTCTTCTCAACTTGGCCGACCTGAGTCGAGATAGGTCGACTGAAGTCGAACTAAAATCGTATTTAGGTCGTAAAGGTCCTTACGAGGTCGTTTTGAGGTCGAGTAGTTTGCGAGGTCGAGTCGGTCGAGCTCCCGAGGTCGCCACGGGGACCGCACCATTAAAGCGTTCGCTCGTCACGCTGAAGACCAGGGTTCGATTTCCCACCTGGGTATAATGTGTGAAGCCCACTTCTGGTGTCACCCGTTGTGGTATTGCTGGAGTATTGCTAAATGCGGCGTAAAACTAATCTCACTCACTCACTCCAGAGCGTGACGTTGATCAGATTGCGACTCAGAAACTGAATGAAGCGTCCGGCAAATACTCAACTCGTGTCCAGTACAGCCAGTTGATGGACAGTGTCGCTGAACGTCTAGAGGTCGTTGCCGTGCAGTTGAATGCCTCGCAGTGACACTGTGTGCAACTTATTATGTCGTCTCCTCATTACAATGACAGCATAAATCAATACATTTCTCTGATCAATGATCCGTAGTATGATCGATCAGTTTGCACTGCGCTAAACGTGGAGGTCTCGTTCCTGCACACGAAGGGTATTTCGCTCATCCAGAACCTCAGATGCAGCATCTCTTTAAAGAAACCGAAATCCATATTTTACAACATAAAGGTATATAAACAATTTGTGCAAACGTTATAGATTTGCGTTATGCGCAGATATTGACTGGCCGCTGGGGTGAACAGCCAAGGGAGACGACTCCCAGTCTACTACCTCTTGTGTCTGAATGTTGGTGTTAACGCCATGCGTGAAATTACGGCATTGTGGGGTGTGCGATTTGGCTAATTACTGATTAGTAGATTGATCGAGATAATACAATTTGACCTTGCAGGCTGGTAAACCATTGTTTGGATGACCCGATTTTGCCGATTCCATTCGCCAAATTAAACTACGGACATCAGAATATATGAACCTGTGTTGTTAACTTGATACGGTTATATGGTTACAGTACTATGATGCTCAGCGAAGGTGCACACCTTAAACACTTCGGTCATTTAGTCGCTCTTGTTCTCGATACAATTTGTTTTCATTTCAAATGAGACCCTGTTAAACACAGTTAGATGCATTGCTATCTCCGACCTTCGCTTCTAAAAGAATTGAACTCGATTAACCTTCAATGCCTATTCATAGATAACTCATTGTTCGTGTCTGGGAAAGAGAAGTTAACATGCATATTGCCGTGAGAAGTATATTTACTTTGTATTTTTTATGACTTCTTGTTTACTTCTACCCAAACTAATATTTTTCCCCGCCGCCAGTGCCTTGTGACCTTAATACTTCCATTATATAATATTAATTATATTTATGTATAACCCGTGGGAATTCCAGATGGGTTAGCCTAGTGGATAAAGCGTTTGCTCGTCACGCCAGAGACCCCCCGGGTTCGATTCCTCACGTGGGTTCAATGTGTGAAGCCCATTTCTGGTGTCACCCGTCGTGATATTGCTGGGATCTTGCTAAAAGCGCCCCCAAACCAAACTCATTCACTCACTCCAGTGCAGATGAAGTTAGCATTGTTCGAGTGAGTAGGCTTTGAACAGTATTCCAGTTATGTCTGCTTAATTTGGGAGCAAAGCCCGAAGTAATGTAAGTCTCAGTATCCTCCACTACGATGAAACCCACGAGCACGGGAATGACGCTGTCAAACCTAGAACCACGTAATACTTATCTACGATTACAAGTTGCTTACGTGTTCAAGGGACGCAACTCTGTACAGCAATTTGTAGCCCCTGACACCCCTTGTCCAACCGTCTCTACCATTAGACATTTCTTACATGTAAGCGACTGGAACAAATTCGTCTCTGTGACCTGGTTGAATGTATGTCAGCGTGCCCTAACATCGTGGTTCGTTTCACCGGTTATTCTACTCGGCAGATAACTTGCAAATCTTTGTGACATGAGCTACTTGAGCGTAAAATAACATTCACTCACTCCCCCATGCATGCTTACAGGTACCCGTGAAGATCCGGGTTAGAATTGGTCTTCAGTAACCAATGCTTGTCGTTAGAGGCGACTAACGGGAGTAGTGAGGCTCGCTGACGCGGTTGACACATGTCATCGGTTACCAATTGTGTAGATCGATGCTTATAATGTTGATCACTGGAATGTCTGGTCCAGACTCGATTATATACAGACCGCCGCCATATAGCTGGAATATTGCTGAGTGCGGCGTGAAACAACAAACAAAACATACAAGTTTATCGGTAATTGTATATTTCAGCTTTGGTGCAAAACGTGTATATCATCTATTTATTTAACCTTGTTTCAGATTTTGTCCTGGACATTTGTTTACATGTTACACCGAGGTATTTATTATCTTTGAAATCGGGAACGTTTCGAGTTTCCATAGGAAAGTAACTCCAAGGACAACGCATATCGGGAAACATACCGAACTCGGGCCAACAGGAAAACATAACGCTATCATGTTACATTATTTCCGCCGAGTTATCCATGACCCCTACATCATGAGCTTTTCATTCGCTGTGCGGGACGACCAAAATCTAGTTCAATCATAACTTTATTGACTTGTCGATACAATCAATGTCACACAGTCGTAATTATGTGAATCACGCGGCAGGCTTTGAAGTCCTGATCATGCAATAACACGCTGTAGCCCATAGGGCGACAACGAAGTGCATGTTCCGTGGTTGGATCAAACGACATGCGTTTGAATGTTGT